ATTTTAGTTCTGGACACCCAAAACTATAATCCTACAAAGTTTCAAAACTTCCGGACTTTTTTCCAGGTAAAAATCCCCAATGACTTGCCTAATGATCTGATAGTATTAGAATATCATATCGCCGTTCCAGATTAACAATGACGTAACTGCAACATTTTTGGAAAATGAGTTATACCCAACAGAAGACAGTAATCCAGTATGTTCACCTTACAAACTGAATGTTGTTATAACTTTGTTGGCAATAGGGTATACGCGTGTGAAAATTTTACACTGGAATATATTTTTGTTCCATCACTCATATGTATAGATGTCGAATTATACATCCGAAAAACATTATTGAGCACCGAATATTTAATAATTTCTGATTGAAAATCATGATATTTGCAACTTTCCGACCAACAGCCGAACTGCAGCGATGATTTCCGACTGGATGTGGCTGTTTTTATTTGTCATGTCAAACATTCATGTCCGAAAGATTGAAAATAATATAAGAAGAGAAAGTGAGGTTATGATAATCTGAGCTTGTAGTTTCTAATAATAACTGAATAATAAGCAAATATCTACAATAAGAATGATCTAACAGGACTCCTTTTTGCTAGAGTCCCTGTATATACTTTAGACAAGAGTCCGGACACAAAACTGACAGCCGTTGGGGTTTTTAATATTTTGTTTCATTTTGTTTGCCCACCTGACAATGTGACGAAACACCATAGTCGTCTCGCCCACTTATTTTAATTATTTCGAATTTCTGTCACTGTCACTTTGAAATTTTATGACCGACAAAATTTTGCATTTTAAATTATGTCAATGTCCTGCTGCGTACATTATTGCGATAATTCATAAGAAAAGGGATTCGAGTTATTCAATTTTCTGAATGATCCTTCAAAGATAATGTCATGGAAGAATGCAATGAAACGTCCAGAATGGAAAATTAATTTCAAGAAATCCGCAATATGTGAGGTAAATATTCGAATTCACTTGTAAAAACAGTACAAAAAAGATGAATTTTAGGCCCATTTTGATAGATTCTTTCAAGCTGATGGATTACAAATTGAAAGAGTCTGCTGTGCCGTCAATCTCTTCAAAAAAAGAGTTCCGTCGTCATCGTATTGGGAATTACTGAATGATACGATCGCAGAGAAATAAAATGAGAATGAGATGATGCGGAGAGAAATTGAAAGTTTGAAATCAAAACTAGAAGATTTAGGGGGAAATTGCAATGTGCTATGTCATCAGTCCACAGAGTTTTTAATTCATATCAAATTAAAAAATTTACTGGTGAATGTAGACTGCAGGAAGAGGTGGGAAACCGACACAATTAAAATTATATTGAAACAATTATATATCTTCAATTTTTGTATATCCCAACAGAAAACAACTATATTTTCTTGGCTATATGTGATACCACGTAGAACACTTAAATTAACTTTCTTATATCTAATGAAGGAAAGAAATATCTGATGACGAAAATTTGCAATAGTCATCTCAGGAATTTATTACGAAAATTATCGATTCGAAATTTGAACACCCTGTTGTTCATTATTTGAAAATCTAATAGTCATTCTAGTTAAAATAGCCCCATTTCTCACTTCTACCTACGGCTATGAACGGTTTGACAAATAATCTAACCCTCAAAATTGTTTCTGACAATCATTGATACTAGGGGAATTGAAAAGACAGAGCTCGATATATATGTCTTATTCCTTTATTCAATCATCAATGCATTTTTTGACAGTATTTGGTATAAACATTATCATTTTCCATTTTCAAATTTCAAATTTCTGGCGTTTAAAACTGTTTTCTTCCCCTACCTCTTCTTCTTCTTATTTTTTCAATCTGAATTTTGTCATTCTGTCGCGCTAGTCTATGGCTGTGCGGCCTAATACTATGACGTCATAATATTAGTGATGGCCACCGTTTTCCTGTGGCTTAATATTAAGCCTCATTTAAATGACATTTTTTAGAGTCACAAGCAAATTTGAGATTAATGAATGATATCCAATGTTATTATGAGGAAGAAGGAATATAATTTCGATTAAACAAAAAATCATGCGTATTCCTTATTGAAATTTGTCAATGAAATTTCGCGCTCAACCTAATTGAAGGATGCTGAATTCAGTGGTGGGGTCGATTTTTTTTTTTTTTTTTGAAAAAATCGCTAATGATGAAAAATAATATAGTATGCCCTGTAGATTGAAATTTCATTTTGCAAATTTGTGTAAACGTAGATCTCCGGATAGTCCTTCTGCTGAAACGAAAAAAAAAAAAAAAAGAAATCGGTCAAAAACTATAGATTTTATGAGGGTGCTCCAGTCTTGAGTGGGTCACACTGTAGAATTGAAACTCTCAAAATATCATATAATATCATAAATAAAAAATTGAAGTCGAATATTATTTTTTGATAGGGAATTCTGAAATTCATGATCATGAAACTAGACAATATAACTTGTTTCATCTTGACGCCGCTAGCTCCATAATCGGACAAAAAAGATTCACTCATTCAGCCTCAACTGAATTCAATAAACTTTTTTGTTTACAAATATTATTCTTTGTTTGCCAATTTACAGTTGTTGATATATTTTGAATAATGATATTGTTACCTATAGGTATATAATTATGTACTTCCTTATACCAGAGCCTATTCTGTCTGGAAGTTATTTGTTCAATGAATAAATAAATAAATGAATAAATGATGTGTTGTCACGATATATTGCCAATTATGGTACGTATACAATATGTTTTATAGAAACCGATCAAACTTCGATTCATTTCCATGTGATATACCAATTTTCGTATATTCTTGTATACCTATAGATCTCTACAAAATGGTGTGTTTCGCAACTGTATTTAATACATAGTTTCAGTACCTCTGTATATGTAAACAATGCGAATTATTTCATCCTGAATAAATTCGAAATTTCAAACGATCTCTGTTAACTCTCAACAGAATGGCAAATATTTTCGCACCATGTTGCATTAATATCCATCTAGTTCTTCTGTATAATATATAGGTATATAAAGCGAATTTCAAATGTTTTCATCATAATATATGGAAATTTACTGGAGCAAAATACTAGCCATGTGATGAATACATCCATATTTATATACAAAAACATATACCATCTTGAAAGAGACGATTTCCACACACTCAAATGAATCCACTAAATCGAAGATCAATTTCAATATCCATATTCATATACAAAAACATATACCATCTTGAAAGAGACGATTTCCACACACTCAAATGAATACACTATATCGAAGATCAATTTCAATTTTCCACTTTAGAATAATTCTGGTTATTTTTATATCCCCTAAATCATGACTAAATTGTTACATCTTTCTTCCAACTGATTTATTTCCGAACAAGTACGAAAAATTCCGATATAGAAAGTAGGTATACGGGGTGAAGTGAAAAGAAATTTAATATACAGTCTTACCGTTAAAGTCAGCATCTTATGGGATTTTTTCATTATTTAGTTTGTGCAAATTAGGATTGCATGAATAGTTCTCACTTTGGAAATAATGCAGAATGAGGTTCATGTTTTTTTAATCAATCGATAGCTGTCGAATCAGATATTTTCTGACAGGAAACACGAAGCCAAAAATTGTATCTTCCGAATATAAAAGATTTTGAAGTGGCAAATTGATTCTCTATAAGCTGAATGAACATTACTATTGAAAATTCCTGATTCATATCGATCCTCGATATCATTTTTTCAATCAATTCAATTCTCAAGGAATCTCCCAGGAAGGACTTTTTCAGCAAATCACCTAACCTAACCTAACCTGCTTTCGAAATATTTATTCTCCAGGATCTTCTATAGAGATATTTTCCCAGAGACAGTATTTCCTAGAGGTTTTTTCCTGGGGAATATTTACAAAGAGGATTTGTGGCCGATACCCACCCTGTGTAAATTCAGATTTCAGATTTATTTCTCAGTATTCCATGTACAAATGTATTGAAATAATGATTGAATCATATTCATTTCATGTACTATTTGCTATTTGAGAATTTTTCGGTTACTGAGTGCCCAACAAATAATATTAATATTATCATAATAGTAAATTGTCAATACAGGATGTTTCAAATTGCAATATCAGCATGCATTGAAAATTGAAATTTATTCGAAATTTTTTAACGATTTGTGTTAACTCTTAATAGAATGGTCAGTGTTTTGACAACTCGTTGCATAAATATCCACCTAGTTTCAGCTATATATATATATAATTCCAAATGTTTTTATCGTTAAATGGAAATTTACCGAAGCAAAATACTATTTGTGATTAATGCTTCCATACTCATCTACAAAAACACTTACCATCACGCACTCAAATTAAATACAATCACTAAACCGAAGAACAATTTCAATTTCTCAGTTTTAAATAAATCGAGTTCTTTTTCTATTTAACTTGAATCGACCGTACACGATGAGATCTAGAACGAGACTGCTGATTGGTTTCATTCATCATTCGGATGACTAATCAGTTACGTCATCCTTTCAACCGATTGATTCCCGAACGAGTACCACTAATTCCAATATCGATAGTAGGTATACGGGATGAGGAATTGAATAACATTTTTAGTCATGTTTCAATATGCTTTTTCTACAAATGCGTTTCTATGTTCACTAATTTATTGTTGTTTGAAGTGTTTCGAATTATGAAATGTTCACCTATAGGTATATAATCATGTACTTTCTCATAACAGCCTATTCTGTCCGGAAGTTATCCGTTTGATTAATCAATAACTTTTTCTACTTCAGAAACGAACTGGAACTGCAGAATTTCGCTATTATTCGACAACATTTGATAGGTGGTGATATCAAATCAAATTATGCTTTATTATCCAAGAATGAGGAATCCTATTAACAAAGCCACATGAGAAAAATTCAGTCATTATTAAAATATGAATACAAAAAAACAAAAAAAAGATTCATAGGTGGAGGTTGAATTTAGATTGTCTTTTCTACCGTCAAATTGTATTTTTTAAATTGCAGGACGATAGTCTCCAAGTATCTTTTCACCTGCCGTTACACAGATATTTGGCAGTTTTCATCTGCCAAGCAGTTTCGAAGCAGGGTATCAAGATCAACGAAGTTTTGCCCTCCAACGATTCTTTCATAAACCTGCTGATGATGCATCCGCTGAGAGTTCAGGTAAGTCCTCTTGAAGTTTACTTGGGAATAAGAGTCGTTAGGCATAAAACGTGATAAAAGTCGCGAAACATCACAGACTGCTAGGCAACCAACCCAAATGCGCAGTGGAATATCTAAATTCGAATGTGACGCGTACTTCTGACCCTTCATGCGGTGTTATACTGACTATTTTGCTCATCAGATTATCTGACCAATCACAAGCCAGAGACAACGTGTACTTATCGCGAAAACATTAGCTGTCTTTTAATTCTGATTGGTTTATCAGCGTTGATGTTTTCAACGATGTTACCATGAATAGCGAAGCAAAGTCTGTCAGTTTGCCATAAAATAATTATGGCTGTACTTGTCAGAATGAATCACTCATTTATAATAAATGGTTTTCTCGTCGACCTCTACAAAAAATCACATTTTACGTTCTAATTTCTGCACGAAAAACCGACTATTTCCGAAGGCAAGTACTTTTTGTCCGATGGAACTAACTTTTCGCCCGCACACAGTTTTCTTCCGCTGCAGGGTTGCCAAGTTCTATTGAATTTTCAGCAGATCTCCTGATGATATGTTTAAACCAAAAACGGGCCATACTTCATCTGATTCAGTTCGAATTCAGTTTTTTATATAACTCTGTTATAACAGTTTGTTTCTTACGTTCAATTTTTTCATTTGTTTTATATTTTTGTTCGTTTGTTTGTTTTACTATTTGTTCCTGTTTTTTATATACTCAAATCTTATAAGTACATATTATGTAACTGTATTCGGCGATATTTGTGAGAATTATTAACTTTAGAATCAGTGAACAATGAAGCGACAGAATTATCTCGACCCGATATTGCTTATGACTCTTGATTTACAAGAACCAATCCGAATTGCTCGTTTACACTGTATCATCAGTATGACATCTATATGGATTTCTGTATTTATCACTTATCATCTTATTCAGTAATGAAATCATGAACTAGTTATACGAATACATCTCGTGAAACTGTTTCTCCTGGAAATATTCGTCGATTTACATACTCAATCTTGCTGTTTTAAGTTTGTTCATGACATTGATTCAAACTACTCGCCTGCGGCTCGATAGATTTGTTGAAAATTTTATGCACGAATTAATCAAACAACAAGCCGTCTCAATAATCTCCGAATATTTCCGGAGAAATATTATCACTTATTGTACATATGATACAACTGGTTCATCCTCGATAGTACCTTGTTAACACTGAACTGTCAACACTAGATTTATCCGCATTCAAATGACGTATTGAATCAGTTGATTTGAATACTGACAAAAGGTAAAGTGAATTGGTCCTTCTTATCAATAAAATTCGAAGGACTTATGGTACTACCTCTGATAATTATTATGTTATCAAACAACCATTTCTTGTTTCGTAGCTGAGCTCATCAAATCCGATTTTCGTTTGCCGAAATACCTCTCTGTTATGTGGACATCGAAACTAAAATTTGGTCAGGTTCTTCTTGGGATTAGGTAGAAAGGAAACATGAAAGCTACGAAAAAGGATTTTGTGATTAAATTATTGTGTATTGTAATTGAGTAAGCTGTGAAACACAACTTTTACAGTCTACCTAAGTACTTAGGATACATAATATCAACCCAGAATATCTGACCACATTTCATCAAGATACTTGCAAATTCCTTGATATTAGTAGCTTCCAAGTATAATCTGTAAACATGATGAAAATACTGACCTAACAATTAATGGAAGAGCAATGATAATTCTCTGTTTTATGCTAAATTGAACTCGTTCATACCACGTGATCAGCTTGGAAAAGTTGGTTGACGGGTATGTGCAGTAAAACAAACCATAATTATATCATCGTTGTTACTGCAATATGTTGTATGACAAGAAACAAGAACAGTAGACATACAACCTCATAAGGATGGATAATAAAACAGATAAACACTGACAAGATTACACATTATGCACAATATTCCAAAGACAAATAACGAAAAAATGGCTGACGGACGATCGAAAATCCTCATGCCCGTGCATGAAAAATTATATGTAGCACCTAAAGGCAATAAATTGAACGTTTCTAAGTGTGTACTGAATTCGGAAGAAAATAATTGATATTTGATTTTCTTGGTTGTCTTAAGTGTTATAACACGTATTTATAACAAATTAGTCCAGGAAAAAAATTGTAATCTGAGAACTGTTCATAGTTTAAGAGTAAAATTTAACGCGATCCCTAGCAGTTCATTCCAAATTTTTTATGAATTCACAGAATAGAATTTTCAACGAATATAATTAACATTTTCGAAGCTTCTAATTTACAGTTAATGTCAGAGAAAAAATTGCAGTATTTAACAACTATTAACATTTTATCAATTCGGCAACACCTTGAATAGCTCCTCTTGATCAATCCTCTGGTTCGCCTCCGGAAAATCGACTTCCAGATGCTGCCCGAAGTCGTACGTGGTTATGGTGGGCGCCACGAACCCTCCATACCCTTTCTTGCCCTTGTAGTAGATGCCCAACGCCCTCAAGGGCAGGGCCACTTCGGGCGCGACGTCCTGAAATTAGACGAAATGTTTTCAATACCTAAAGATTTTCTGGTCCCCACGAAAAGGGATATCCTGTAATGTTCAGAGAATTAGTGTTCTTCTCAAATTTCTTGAGGTTATATGCCTCGGGGAACACCTTCCTTGGCAATGTGTTCCAGACCCTTGCTTTTCGTTGCATGAACGAGTCTTTGGAAAGAGATGTTCTGCAGGTCTCCAAAGTGACCACAAAGGGGTGCGAAGCCTCAACTCGACGGGTTAATCTCGCGGGGACTGCCAAGGAAGGAACAATTGTTGATATTTCAGAAGAGCATCGTCCATGAAAATATCTATAAAATAGAGCCAGATCGCCAACTTTTCTACGGTGTTCCAGAGAAGTGAGTGAGTTTGTGAGCGAGGCATCACCCACGAGACGAATTATTGCCCTTTTTTGGACAGAATCCAACAGTTTCAGGGTATGTTTGGGTGCTGCACTCCAAATATGGCAACAGTATTCCAGGACAGGTCAGATCTGTGCCTTATAGATCATAAGCAGCTGACTGGAAGTGAAATAGCTCCTGACCCGAAACAGAAAACCAAGTTTTTGGGATGCACTTTTAGCAATTGATCTCACGTGATTTTCCCAAGAAAGGTTATTGCTGATAGTAATACCAAGCATCGAAATGGATGTCTTCAACTTTATGGTTACTCCTGACAAGCTTATGTTGGGCACAGTGAGATCGGCTTTTCTAGAGAAAAGGCATGCTTGTGTTTTGTTTGCATTGAAATCTACCAAGTTATTGGATCCCCACTTGCAGAGAACAGGTGTTAGTTCGAGAGCACATTTCTTGAGAACAATCGGTGGGATTCCGTCGGAGCCACAAGCTTTGTTGGTGTTGAGACCCAATAAAATCTTCCTTATAGTACGTTGGCGAAAGGTGATCTCGAGCATATGACTGTCAATTGGCGTTATGTTTGGAGGTTGTTTTCTCGATGAATCCAGAGTGGAATTTCGAGCAAATAAATGCGCAAAAATGTTGGCTTTCTCCTGGGCACTTGTGGCTAGCGTTCCATCTTCCTTGGTTAGAGGAGAAAACGAACTGGAAGTGAAGTTTCTTCCTACTGCTTTGGCGAAGGACCAAAATGAACGGGATCCGTTAGGACAATCAACAAGTTTTGATCTTATTTTGGCATTATGAGCATCCTTTGATGATCGAATTGTCTCATTGCATATGCCTCTAGCCTCGACATATTCTGCTCTAGTCTCAGGGCCTGGATTTTTCTGCCATCGATGGAATGCTGCCTGTTTAGAAGCGACAGCTCTAGAGCAGTTGATTTTCTCCTTGCAGTGTTCGGTATGTAGGTTTGCATCCCCAACATGATGATTTCAGAAATTGTCTTAGCACATCGTGTTGGATCTGCTGAGGGGAAACAAACTCTCTTCCATGGAAACGCTGAAAAAAACATACGAAGACCTTCCCAGTCGGCCGAATTGTATTGTAATGTAAACAATTTCGTCTCCCCTCATTTTATATGTCTATGAATACTGTTATTATGAAGTTTAGTATATTATTGAATGCATAATGAACTTTACCTGGATGTCTATGAAAGGCACGGTGGTTTGAGCCAAGTCCTTGTTGAAATCTGTGTGGGTGAAACGAACGAACGTTGGATAGTCCCATTCCGGGGTCGAATGGGGAGCCTTGATGGGAATGTCTGGGTAGGAAATGTCAATTTTTTGTCTGTAATGAGAAAATGTTGTATGCATGAATCTGATGAATATAGTTTTGTATAATCTTGTTATACATCCATTTCAGTTGTCTCAAGTATCGCTGATAATTCAGATTGCTTTCAAAACGTACTATTTTTCAACATTATGTGGAATAAATCGCCTATATGAAAATCTCCATAATGTTGAGCCATTACATGATCGTTGCATACACTATTTTTTTCACGACCAATAAATAATAAAATGGTATCAAAAATTAATTTGAAACTATTTATATATCAACATATTCCAATATTTTCAGTCCATGAATAGACCGCACGTTGTGTTCGGATGTTAATTGAAATTTAATGTCAAACAACTCAAATGAGTATGACACAGACCACTTCGATTATCCCCAAGTTCATATACGTGTTTGTATATACCAGAAATTCGTTTCATAATGAAAAGGACGTTTTTACTAATACCTAATACCAGACATGATAGTAGTCAGGATTAGTTCATCTGGTTATAGAGTGAGAAATTATTTCCAAAATTGAATAGGTGTATTATTTGTGGCTAGGCCGAATCGATTGTCATAATAAGAATTTTTGAAAAAAATATGCCTATTCCGTTTTTTTTTCAATTTCGCTAGAGTTTTTGTGATCGCAGTAGGCTAAGAAATTGTGATTGATATTTTTTTTGCTCGAAAAAGTTGATAGTTTAGTCATATATTATGGAAAAAAAATCAAATCGTCCTAGGATTACGAAAGTCCAGGGGTGGGTTGGAGCAAATTGTAACACACTGAATATAAGTTTCCATGCATTCCATGTCATTTAAATGAGAGAAGATGGCTTCCCACCACACTAGTGCTGCTACGTGGCAGCAATTGTACACAATTTCCATGAAAATTTTCATATATCAGTATTTGAATACTCACCCGTATCCTACTCCAGATAAATGGTGAAAATTGTAGGAGAGTTGGCCGCTCTTGAAATCAAATTCTCTAACATTTATCTTCAGTTGTAAATTTCCACCTTTCAAATCGAATTTAACACCTGGAACAACAAGAACTGTGAAATACTCGTGTTCATCATCTTTCAGTGACTGAACCACAACTTTTTTTTTTATCTCTTGGAGCACACGAAAGGAAATTCCTATAATATTCGTGCAACATTGCGCATACCTACGGAGGATAGGGAGAGAAGGAAGGTGTTGGATTTTTTTTAAATTTTGGAGGTTATAAGTTATTGGGAATACTTCCATTGTCAAAGAATTCCAAAGCTTCGCCGTTCTATAGACGCCCGAGTTTTGGTAGAGTGTTGTTCGACATTTTTCAAGGTTAACGATGAAGAGGTGTGCTGACTGGGCCTGTCGAGTTCGTCTGGTTGTGATGAATTATAGCAGAGATTTCTGAAGAACGTTTTCCGTGGGAGTATCTATAGAAAAGTGAAAAGTCACCGAATTTTCTACGGTATTCTAATAGGGTCAAAGAGTTGGTGAGTGTGGCATCACCCACCAGACGAATGGCTCTTCTCTGTATGGAATATAATAGCATCAGCATATGTTTGGTTGCTGAACCCCATACATGAGAACATTATTCTAAAACCGTCCGTATCTGTACTTTGTAGATCGTGAGAAGCTTAATTGTGGATTCTTATATCCACAAATAAAATGGTAATAATTATAATTAAATTGAACTCTTTTTTATAAATCGTTACTGGTAATACCGAGTATTGATATTGTGGTCTTGGTGGTACTAGACATTGTTATATCAGGCATACTAAGTTCCACCTTTCTAAAGAAAATACAGGCTTGAGTTTTGGTGGCGTTGAAATCAACTAGGTTGTTGGTCCCCAGGCTGTATAATATCCGCAAGATATTCATTGACATCGTTGGCCTGCCTTCATCGTATTTATTTATTTATTTATTCATTTAGGCATTTATTCAGTGATTCAGCAATACTATACAGCAATAAACTACAGTAGTATGCATTTCATTTTTAACATAACATAATAAATATATTAATTACTGAGACTGAAAAGGGCTATAGTTAGTTTCAATGTACATAAATGTACATTGATCCCAATCTTCCCTATAACCCACGAAGAGGTGCACAGTTAGAACGTAAGATGATTACCTAATAAGTATATTCTAATAATACTAATATGTTCTGTTGGCACCAAGAACTATCAACTATAAACTAATACAAACATGGATATGACATTGAAAAATATTCCAATTTCGAAGCAAACGAGCAGTAGGTACCTAAAATAATAGTCCTTAGTCCTTATTGCAACCAAATACACTCAAACATTGAAATATAAGTAAAACTAAAATATAATTCTGAGAGAGAAATCGAAAGGTACCATTATTGAGTAACAGTAAATTTTTCAAATTTTCCTTGAAATTCTTGAAATTCAATTCCATAAGATCAGAGGGTAAGCCATTAATCAATTTGCAAATCGTGTAAGAATAAGATCGTTGGAACATGGAGCTGGAGTGATGAGGAATTGTGAGGATAGTCTTCCTTCTTACATTGACATTGTGTATATCTGTCCTGAAAGATATCCTGCGTGCTAGGTATATTGGTTCTCGGTTTTTAATAATTTTGTGAAATAAACATGCCAAGTGTAGAAACCTTCTATTTGTAATATTTAGCCAGTTCAACTCCAAAAATTTACCAGACACCGAATGTCTTTTTCTAATGTTATATATGAAACGGACGCATCTGTTCTCAACAGTTTGTAATCTTCTGCGATTTTCGTCAGTCAGGCAAGGCCCATACACGGTATCTGCATAGTTGAGAATTGAGATGAGATAGTACCATGGTTTCGCATAAAGTAACTTTTGTATTGTTATCGAAAATGTAAGTTCCTAATTTCCTAGGAAGAAATTGGGATTCTAGAAGAGAACGCAGTATGGTACCAAACTTATATCAAAGCTAACCTGTTATCACGTGATTTTGTTTCTCGACTGCCAGATTATCCATGAACATTGTCCGTTCCTCGTGATCCATCGTGTGGTAGTCCTGTCCCTTTTTGACGCCGGGGGTAGTGATTCTGAAATCGTCCACGGGCACCCATCTTACTGTGCTGTTGTCTATGTATCCATAAGGAAGCAGTTCGCCTTCTTGGATTTGTAAATGGAAAATGCGGTTATGCTTGATGAACCTCAAGCCAGTAACAACCCTATGACAAAATTGAGATGTAATAGGTTTACATGGCGTCCGCTCTGCTTAGCTCGTACTTGAAATACTCGTTACTAAAAGGACGTTTATAACACTTGTTACATAATATACCATTTTGCTTGGGTAAGTTATAATAAAAGGAGGAAGGAAAGCTCAAAGTCATCTCCACAACTTCAATAATGATGTAGTTAATCAACGGGACATGTTTCGAACTTGTAAGAGTCCATCTTCAGCCGTATTTTAGAAATTACTACAAGCAAAAAAAGTTGCCGATGTCTCTCATCATAATATCATGAATGATAATAATAAATAGGTTTTCGAAGGAATAAACGGGTTTTCATTTAAAATGAAGGGCCACGTGCGCTAAGAACGCGCACTTATAAAATCCAAAGTCAAGTCCCAGAAGGGAAACTTGACTTGACACAAGGTGCTCTTAATAACCATTTTGGTTGTAATACAGGAAAAAGGGTCCCGTACCCTTGAGAGAGCGCACTTAATTACCAAAAATCAATTTAGAATTGATGGGGCCAAGGGCGAAAAACGTGTTAAATCCAACTTAAGGTTAGAAACACGGAATTAATTAAAAGAACCTTGACATAAGTCAAAGTCTTAATGACATGATATTATAACAAGTGGCATAGGACACAGAATTAAAGTGAACACTGGAAAGAATGTGAATTCCACTAGTGGTAGTACAGTTAGAAATAATTCAAACAGAAATAATAATAATAATAATAATACATTTATTATCCACAAAATATTTAAATAGTACAGGGTACGTAATATAACAGAATTCAAGTGGATAAATGGCTATAACTGGTTCAGTTGTGGACTAATCCACCCCTGTTCTTCCACCAGTGCCAGTGAAATTGAAGAAAGAAATTTGAGAAGCAAATGATAATTTAAATGTAAAGAAACGATATTTTGAAAGAAAATGATAGGAACCAAGAGGGAGAGGAAAAAAGTAGAGAGCGAGAGTAGAGAGCGAGAGTAGAGAGCGAGAAGGAAAAAAGGAAAAAGATAGGGAAAGTGAGTAACAACATAGATTAGTTGATTTGTAAGATCATTTCTGCGTGGACAAAAGATACTTTTTATATTTAACTTTAAATGATTCGGTAGAAGATGATAGCAGTGATGGATCTAATCTGTGCAGATTGTTGATACAGACTGCCAAACCATAAGAGAACGAGCGTTTATAAGTAATTTTTTCATGTCTCGGCACACGAAGAAGGGTTTTTTGTCGAATATTCAGATTATGAACATCTGTTCTGAAAGTGAGTCTGTTATGCAGGGTTGGGCTGATTTAAATCAAGATAAAAATCATGATTTAAATCAAGTGATTTTTTTTTAAATCACAATTTAAATCAAAATAATAATTTCGAGAACATTTATTATTCATTTGAATAATAAAAAATATTAAACTGAAATAAAATAGTAAAACCCCCAAAAAAACGGGATATTGAAACATATACATATGTATATCTTAATCATACTCTATGTTATTTTATAATCATAAGTTTTCTGACATTGAAACTAACATAGAACATTTTAATTTTCATTATAATATTTAAACAAAAATACTAATTTTCCTGCCTTTTCAACCTCCAATCTATTTCTCAAATCTGAATGTACCAGCCCAAAGGTACTGAACACTCGTTCCACTGAGGCTGAAGAAGCAATAGCACAAAGAAATTGTTTTAACACAGGTATCTGTTTCTTGATTTCTGATTCATTGTCAGCTTGTGATAGCCACCACTGAATTCCACTGACGTTTTTCGTAATTTCTTCAGAGAACATGATGTTTTTGAAGGGCAAAGAACGAGCATTAAATTTTATTAGTAATGATAATAATCCACTATTACCATACATTTCTTTTATAGTTTTTAAAGCCAAATTTTTTTCATTGACAGTCAACCTGTACTTTTGCTTAAATGGGTCCATCATATAAGCTATCAAGTGGTAAGGGGTCAGTGCTTGTTCATATCGGCGCTGAAATTTTTGAAGCTGTTGAATTGATAGATTTTGATCTTCTTCAGAGATATATTCTAAGTTTTTCCATTGTTCCACGGCATTTGAAAGAGTATGTTGACATGAATGTTGACAGGTACCTATATTTATCGCGCATTAGCACCAAAATCAAAAAAAATCAAAAAAATCATGATTTTTTTATTTAAATCAATGATTTTTGTTTTTTTTTTAAATCAAGATTTGCCCAACCCTGCTGTTATGTAAATAGGGGGGTGTTTTGAAAGTGTAGATTGTATGGGCCAAACATGCAAAATGTAGAGTTCGACGGTTGTACATATTCAGCCATTTCATTTCCTTAAATTTTCCTGAGATGTGGTGATATTTTCTTATTCCGTAAACCAATCGAACACAAGAATTTTGAAGCTTCTGAATACGTCTAGAATCATTACTGTCTAAGCAGGGACCATACACGACATCGCAATGATTGAAATGTGATAGTACAAGCGAGTCACATAACATTTTTTTAATTTCACAGGAGAGGAATTGCCGTTGGGTATAAATCATTTTCAGTGAGGCATATGCAATTCTTAGTTTGGAGGATATATGTTCTTTGAACCTCAATTTGTTGTCCAGGACTAGACCTAAGTTTTTGCAATGAGTTTCAACTGGAATTGAGGTACCAACAATCTCAAGTAATACTCTGTCCTTGATAAGTGCTAAGGTATTGTCACTACAAAATATGAGCGCTTTCGATTTTAAGGGGTTTATTTTCAGACAGTGGCTGCGCGAGATATTGGATAATTCTTCGAGATCTCTGTTGATGCACTGGATTCCTTCCGGTGTATCAGAATATTGAAATGGAAAATATAGCTGCGTGTCATCAGCATAAAGGTGATAGTCACAAAATTTGAGCGAATCAGGAAAGAGTGATGTATACAAAGTGAAGAATAGTGGACCAAGAATACTACCCTGTGGCACCCCGCAAGTAATACCCTGAGGCGTAGATTTATGACAATGAGAAGATTTTATTTGGATTTTCCTATGGATTTGACATGCTCCAAGACTCTAGTTGAAATCGTTCTACCACTTTGGCCAACATACTGTGCATTGCAATCAGAACAAGAAATGCTAAAATACGGCTGAAGATGGACTTTTATAAGTACGAAACATGTCCCTTTGAATAACTTTATCATTATTAAAGTTGTGTAGATGACTTTGAGGTTTCCTTCCTCCTTTTAAAAATTCCACTTCACTTTGAGCAAACATGGACTTCTAACAGAGATTAAGTTATAATAGTATAATAGCACACCTGTTATATTGAACGTCAGCCATGACCGGTCTCAAACTGAAATATCTGTCCGACTGGGATCCCTGTTCGTCGCATAGGCAAATGCAGTTAGAACAGTGTACGAACCATCGGTTCCAGCTGAAGACGTTCTTGTTGTTGCATCGGCTTTTCTCACCCATCATCAAGCCACTCTTGAATTCGATGTATTCGTATCTACGCGAATCCCACACCGGCTACATAAAAAAAAACATCAGATAGCTGATGAATGTTTGGAATCAACATAAAAAAAGAAAGAACAATGCCCGTCACCTCCCCCTCTCGTTTATTGTAATCAATAGTTGGTTCCCTCCATCTTTCTCTAGGCGCGACGCTCCGATTTGAAATTTCAATACTTCTAATTGGTAGGTGATCGTCTAGTTGTAACGTGACTGTGTCTGTTTAAAGCTCTTTGCGTCTTACTCTTATCTTGATTTCAATGTCTCTCTCTCCCTCTATCTAGGACCAATATAGTAGAGTATACAAGCTGACTAACAAAAAATGCTCCAAGCCATAGCGGTGCAACTAATTTCGTCCAGAAGTCAACTTGTGGTACTTCATTGTATTCAGAAAAAAAAAATCGAACAGTAGAAAAAACATGATGCTACTTGAAAGAAAAACTTGACAGTTGCTGACATCTATGTTGAAATTTGAAAATATAATGATCAGAGCCTACTCATAGTATCTGATAAGTCATTTAATTTGCTTTTTCTGCAACCGACACAAAAGACGTCCATTTTGATACCAAAATTAGCTCTTAAATTGACGTTTCTATTACTGTCACAAAAATAGGTATGTTGCTAGGCAACATATTTAGTTCCTAGGAGCTAAAGTTGAATTTTAGTTCCTAGGAGCTAAAGTTGAACTTTAGCTCCTAGGAACTAAAAATTATGTACTGGAAGTCATCAAGAATAAACAACATTGTGACAGTTGGTTATCTGGGTTGAGACGCATACCTGATTTGTTTCCGATTTCAGCAGATTTGGCATTTCATACCCATGCTGGAGATATAAATACACCTTATTATAGTTTAGTATTGGAATTTTAAACATCTCAGTTAAGTATTTCTATTTTGATCAGGGAAGCCTTCAAGATTCAAATACTTGCTTGATCTGTATTTCATTCGTTATTCTCGGGATGGATAACTTGTTTTTGAATAATCACGGCAAGCAATAGTTTTTTTGTCTCTAACACCGATATTGTTTAGCTTCATTCGATTATCAAACACAGTGTAGTATGGAGAGGAATAAATAATCACTATTATCATTGTTGATATGCTCACTAACCTAAAATTTTCCACGTCTTGTTCCTATAGCTGGCTCTAGCGCGGTGTTTGCCATTAGAGCACCTGGTCCATACACAAATATATATATAAATACATATAAATTTATACTGAAACTTCAATTCGAACATCCTAGAAAACCTAACCTGCTGTTAATGCAGGTAGAATATTCTCACCACATGGATTATTTGTCAATATTTGTTGCATTGCATACATATGGCACGGCATTGGTGGTTACTTCACATGTTCATTTGAGTTAATTGTTTCGGTTGCAGAAAAAATAGCATGTTTCATTCGGATCAAAAGTGACTTTGTTCGACTCGCAAATTTTGCTTTCGCTCGGCTTCGCTAAACGCTCCGCCTCGCAAATGCAAAATTCGCTTGTCAAACAAAGTGTCACTTTTGATCCTAATAAAACAATCTACTATTCTTGTGTTTCAAAATAGGATAATTATTAGCGGCTATGACATGGGGCGTTTTGTCGGCCAGCCTGTATATTGCTGTAGTTTTTGGGTAACATATAAAAAAATTGTCGAATATAATAAATTGAAAATGTTAACAACTCGAAACTTTTTCTCGAAAAATTTGAACTTTGATATATACTTAGGACTAACAGAAAAGTTTATTTTTCCCGTGAATGAAGAACAGCAAAGAGGAACTGATAATTTTTCCAAACCTCAAAATGTTGAGATATCACACTAGTCTGTATAATATCTCTTTGCACGTGCGTCACAACGTCAAGAAATGAATCAAATCAATTCAAGGTCAGCTGTTTTAGTGGGGCAGTGGCGTGATGGTCTAGGAATGAAGTTAAAATGCGAGTATTCCAGTACTACACGCCTCTGCAATCGTTCGACACGTTGCGTTCAAGATTCATTTCGTTCAGATGAATTTTTATAAATGGGAAAGGTTCCTTCAGATGAATTTTCATTAAATAAGTTCGGAACTCTCCAGTTTTATGTCCACGCTGTACTGAATGGCGACCGATAAAGTCCAAGTTGTTTTCATTTTCAAATTAAAGCAATTTCTAATTTTCGGGGAGGCAAACTGTGACGTACATTCTGAATCTAGTCTGAAGATAGCTGATGGTGATGAAATAGCTAACAAATAGCCAACGAATGAAAAACGAATGAAAAAAATAGAAGAAGTGAAACTGGTTAACAAAAACATACATAACCACAAATGCACTCGGAGCAGGAATGCAGAGGGTAGTTGGCTTCATTCTGACAGATTATGGTTTTGTTATTTTTGCATTGAAATATCTCGAATAGAGGTCGAAATAGAACGAAAATATCAGTGAATCAATAAATCACTATCGGCTACATTCAATGATACTATCCTCCCTAATTTACTGCTATCGGTCAGAACAGAATGAAGCCGACACCCATGGCTCCTTCCTCTTGTTGTGCCTGTCACTATTTTGAATGGTGTGGACGGCCTCGAAGTATTAGGCGCTGTTGCAAGATATAATCTGCAACTTTCGTAGAAAATAGATCCATTTTATTAAGGAACGAATTCATTAGCAAAAAATTACTGACAAGTTATGAATAACATAATGTAATATAACGATAGTGAAAAATTATAGATACCATCGCTTAATATCATAATTTATCTTTATTAGTAATCAACTTCATTCAGCGAATGAGAGATTTATGGGAATTATTCATAATACTTGACAAAGTAAGATTGAAGAACCTATTATATCCCATTGCTGTAATGATATAGTTATTAGGCATTCAAAGAACAATTTCCGGAAATCTAGACATGATGATGTCGGTAACGTCCTACTGGCACAGGAAGTCTCATTTTAACCCTGTGCGAATGTGGATTCTCAGAAAGTAAGTCATAGGAGTGGTGGAGGAGCCAAGTTCCTAGTTCAGTTATTTTTTTCTGAAGTGGAATTTGATCTTACGAAAAAAAGGAAAAATACGTATATATTAATTTTTTATAAACAAATTGCGGTGTCTATTTACTGTTAGGTTTCTCTCGCGATACTCACTGCTATACAAGCTTTCAGATTGGATTCGACGAAGCGGCAGTCCAGTATCTTACCGTAGCACGGTTTCATTTTCTTGCAATACTCGCTTTCGCCGTCATAACAGCCGTAACTTTTGGTGGAGTAGTAATCGGCACACGTGCCTGTACACGTGCCGTCCTCATTCAGGTCCACCTCATTTTGGATGTGACCCTGTAGAAGGCGCGTCACTTCATCGTAAGTGACTCCTGTGTAAAAAAATACATGTCAATCGGATGCTGGACATGGTCGAAGATCCCTATTCCTGGTTGGAGTACCGGAGGGTTCGCCCGCTGAACTATAAACAACAAATCGAATAACAAGCCGTGGTGAGATATTTGGCAACACCGCATTGCCGTGATCCGAGAGTCCTACTCTTGATTGGCGACATAGATAAATATAGGTACGTTGCAGCTACAGTTCCAATGTACTTGACACTTTTGTGTCACGTGACGTGTTTTTTATATTTGACAGATTACCGACCCTGGAGGTAAAACAACCTCACTTTTCTTATTCGATTGCAAAGGATTGAAGCAGTTTTTCACAATTATTTTGGCATACGGAACGTGTTTCGTGGGCTATTCATTTATCAAAGCATGCCATCACATTGTGCTGTTGTAGAATGAACGAAAAAATGCAGCGAGAGTCGAAGGAATACGATTTTTAAGGTAAATTGTGATCTCAAAGTAGTGGGTCTTCAACAATGATCAAGTGCCACGTGACCATTTTTGATGAGGCGTCTCTTTCCCGCAGACTAAAGAGATATGAATGTATTGTTGGTTGCATAGTAATCTGTCACATGGTTTTCACTCATTGTTGAAGACTCGTTACTACTTTGGTTATCTTGTAGTCACTCACATAGTTTCCATTTTGGAATTTTGTCCTTTCTTTTGAGAATTCCACCTGCAATAGGACTAACAAATGAAAATGTCTACAACACAAACGATCATATTTCGTCAGCATGTCAGACCAGTCCTTCCTTTTCATTGCATGAATCCAAGCTTCTTGTCTTCTTTTAGAAACTTCACAAGTCTTTCTATTAGCTCCTATTGCAGAAGAAATTCTAAACAAAAATACCAAAATCAAAAATGGAAACTATGTGAGTGACTGCAATACTTTTGGATCACAATTTACTCACCTAAAAAATCATATTCCTTCGTCTCGCGTTGCATTTTTTGTGCATTGTTCAACAGCACAGTGTGATGGCATATTTCAATAAATAAGTTAGCCCAAGAAACACGATTCGTATGCCAGGATAATTGTGTCATTTGTTAACGAATAAGAAAATTGAGGTTGTTTTACCTCCAGGTTCCTATCAAATTCCATCAACTGTTGTTCGGTAAAAGTTCCTACGGCCTACTTGACAGAATGATTCTTTACAATATCTTGGAATATCGGTGGCATTTTACCCGTTAGATGGCGAAATCTCAACCAAAATTCGAGGTTGGTAGTACTGAAGATAATTAAAATTCCCCAATATAACAGTTTCGTGCTTTCAAATTTAATATTTGATTTGAGGTTATGTTATGATATTATTATTTCTGGTGCAAGCGGTGTGTAAGCGCCGTTTTCTGTCATGAAAGAAATCTCTAAAAAGTGTCGCCATCTTGTGGACAACTGAGAACTAATATGCCATTATTGCGGAATCGGCGGTCAAGCGTTCTGTGATTACACCATATTCTATCGACCTTGCACGCTATCTATAGAACGAACACTCTGACACTCAGATAACCACAAATGAATAGATGAAAAAGCGGAAACTGACAGTACACGAACGTACATACATGACATAAATTTCAACTGTGTCTTTGATAAACAGATCACAGAAATTTATAGTTGACGACCGTCTGAGTGAATAGATAAGCTTAATTCTAGAGCCTTCCATCAGTTAATGAAAAAGTTCTGATGTTTTCAAGAATAATCTGAGAATGTAAAATTGTTGATAGTTAAAACATGTTAAACGATCGCAAAACCTTCACTAACACCCTGCATTCAAAATATTGCATGTTGAAGCTTATATAATTTTTCAGTTTTTTTTAAAGGCATGCAGTGCGTCCATAAAGGGACATAAATTCATTATTAATTGATTATTGTATTCATGTGGCTATGGGAACTAGCCTTGATACCATCATCTTGGCAATATTTTTTCCTAGAGAACTATTTCTGAAATACAATTGATGCTTCCTGAAATTCAATTGACGCTTTCTGGGATTCAATTCAATATTCTGAAATACAATTGACGCTTTCAGAAATTCAATTGTCTTTTATGAATAGAATTGTCGCTTTCTGAAATACAACTGGAAAATGTTTTGTTAAAGCTAACCGCGCTAGCATTAACTTTCCTCAAAATATTGTCATGATTATACCTTTTACATGGTGTTTTGGGTCACATCTCCATATTTTTCCAGATGTGATTTCTATAGCACCCCGCATCGTGGAGATAGTATTATTCACTCTCAGTTTGTATTCATTTCTAGCCCTCAATGCAACTTCTGTATGATTACCTGAAAATCTTCGATAGAAGTCCACAGTTTCTCAAAGTGGAGTGAAATAGTAACATATCCACGACATTTCAATATGATCCACAGATCAGAATAGTTGGTACATGTTCGCCACCCAAGTACACTGTATTTTCGTTTTTTATTTTATTTTTCCATTTTCTGTGTTCTTTCCCCTATCCGCAAAGTAAAGGTCCAGATTTGTCGAACTTTCTCAATAACTTCAGTTTCATGACATGGCTCTCTTTTTTCCTTGTTCATTTCTGCCTAGGGAAGGTTATGCTCAGTGCTGTTAAAGATCAAGTACAACATTATGCACTACATCCTAGTACTATAGACCTATAATTCTTCTTTGAGCAGACGTGTGAAGAATTTACCAACGTGATATAAACGTTCACAAGATTTTCAATGTCTTAATTTGTGATAAAATTATTTTTGATTAATGTAAAAAATTATGTAATAGCCGTCTTTCGTCTTTTACAAGAATTTCAAATGTTTCGTGACACTGTTATGTCCAAAAATGTTACATCGACTTTCAAATTCTCTTAACACCATTGTATTCATCCTCAAATAGTGTAAGTACCATTTGAACTTTCCTTAATATTATTGTCATTATACACATATCAATTCTATTTGGAGTCTCCCTGAAGATGGAAATATACATCTCCGAAAGCTCGGACAAACTGTAATGAGTTCACCTTCACTTTGCTGCAATCCTAACTAGCAAGCTAGTTTTATCTCCAACGTGTCAGCAACGACTTCTTCCTTCCTTCTATATATATATCTGTGGATCATATTAAAATGTCGTGGAGATGACTTCGAGTATTATTCAGTAGTTCCTGAGAATGTCCTTATTCTATTTTTTTCGCACCTTAAACGAGTTTTTACCTTTTTCTTGCACTCTCAAGGCCAAATAGGCGAACTGCGCCATCACATATCCTTTCAAATCTGCCAATGCCACGGTGGTGTAGAGGTTATAAAATACTTGTTGCATCGGTTGGTTGGGATATTTGCAGTTGAAATCGTCTGAAGAAAGTATCTGCAATTCGTATCAAATAATGATTTGATTTTCCCTTTTTCTGGGTCACGCTGTTTTCTTTTTTTTAAGGGTGATGACAAAAGTGAACCAATTGCCACATTTTCAGAATGGCAACCTATTAGAATTGATAGTTGAACGTAGTTGAAATATATTGAAAACACTTATACAGGGTAATGAGTTAATTCGATCTATATTATGTATAGAGAACTAAACGTAGCACGATTCTGAACATTCGTTGGGACGGTGGAGGAAATATGAAGAAGGGAAGTTGATTAGAACTATAGGGCTCACTTTCAATATAGATTTGAATTATGAGAAGAAAAAACGGGGTTCCCATTTGACAAAATTGAGATTTTCTATTAGTAAGAGAGCCGGCTGCAGATTTCTACCGTCATCTGATTACGAAATGATATATGTCCCAAAGGACAGTAAAATTATTGTAGTTCATTGACCGGCACCTGTGCCAATCACAATCCTGAGCAAAATGATTAAAAATGGTACTTTCCTGTGCGGAAATTTGCACTCGATTTTGCGATTTGATAACGAGATAATAATTATACCATCCGATACCAATTGAATGGAAGATTTCAAAAACTTAACTGTGGCACCCCTCAGTCTGAGCCAAATCTACAACACAGCGGTTTATTTGCTCCTATTATTCCACACATACTTGCGTCATGTGATAACGAGTTGGAACGAGAAGCAAATGAAAGGAAAAAATGTCGTATTTGCAAATATACAAACGTGCCGCGATTTTAAACTGATAAGTTAGTGGCAGAGCGTCAATATTTTCATGAATATTTCGCCCTCGTCTCATGTGGTTCTCACACTACAAGTATTCTAATCCACATTTTGAGTTTTACACTGGTCCATCGGATATTATCTTCAGAAGGGGTGAAATATTCTCGGAAGTTGAATTCTCCATGGTTTTTTTCACTGCCCCTAGAAACATTTCAGAATCGTGCTAGTGTTATTTATCCATATTCAGCGTGTCTCACTTTTAACGGCTCCCCCTCTATACAGGGTGGCATTGAAATAAGTGCAAATATTTCAAACACTGAGAAAGATTAACGTGCACTATCGAATGGCACTAATAAAAAGATCTAGGGAACAAAATGAAATTTGAGGTTAGACCCCTTTTTCCATACCCAAAGTTCTACACTGTAGCAAATCTGACGTCACCTCTGTTCAAATTTCCATGCGGTAGGCACAATCACGCGGAGTTCAATCATTCAAATTGTTTTAAAGCGGCGTACTTGATTTTTTTCTCGTATTTTGTTCAATTTTTGGGATGACATTTCTCGTTAATTAGAAGTAATAGAAACAATCTGATATCATGGGAATATTCCTTAGACTGTACCATGTTGATGTACTGAATTTGTGAATTTAGTTCAAAAACACCTTGTATATCAGCTATTATTCGTGTAATTTTGACTGATATGAATATCCATTAATATGATCAGTTTTTCAGAGAAAAATCACTTATCGATAATGATGCCGTGCGTTTTAATTGAAATAAAAAGAGTCGATTTTTTATGAAATCATGTTAGACATTTTTTGCAGGAAAATTAATTTCATAGTATTATTCCTCATGCTTTCAAATGTCCATATGCAAAAATTCGACTCTTTCCAAATTACCAGGATTGGCTTTATTTTTTCCATTTTTTGCCTCGAAAAAATAATGAATTTGAATTAATTCCAAATGTTCGATGGCTCCGGTAGGTATAAATTATGTTTTGAAAGAAAAAACAAGATTTTTTTTTGAACTCACCGTTTCCGAGTAAATAAATATTTACCTTCGCAAAAATGCTGTCTAGATGTGCTTGTTTTTTTCGAAACCCTCCATAGAAAATACATGAAAATTCATATATTAAAAAAAAATCGATCCCTCTTCCCTATTTATACCATCCAAATTTGGCAAAGATCGTAAGATTAATAGCTGAGATATGGAGGGAGGGCCTTTTATTAAAGTAAGACACGCGGTATAGATAGCGTTAACTTGTGGAGATATACCCTGTATTGTGTGTCACCCAGTATATTTTTAGAAAGCCTATTTTCTCACAAGCGTCTATAGCTAGACCAGCGAATCTTCCAAACCTCAAGGTTATCAGAAGGTAATATGTGGATGGAAAATATCTTCTGCATGAAAAATCAAAGTACTTTCACCCTAACTTGTCCTAAATTAACCTTTTTCCTAAAAAATATATTTTCAAAAAAAATAATTGAGAAAAAAAAAATTTACGCCTCGCAGGTCCAAGCCAACTATGGTTTTTATTTCATCAATACAAAGTTTGCTTCGATATCAAACAACTGATAAACGATATATTTTTTTGGCAGATGTATCTGGTTCTACGATGAGAAGAACCAATATAAAGTTTTTTCCTATTTCAAAAGTAAAATTGAAATTTTAGGCATTTTTTCGAAATCGTTCAAATGTCAATTCTTGTCTATATCTCGTAAACAGTTAGAGATATCGAACTGCGGTTTTCACCGAACGATGTTTCACAAAAACCAAGCAAACCGGATACTCACATCCAATATTTTCCAAAGCAAATCCGGTTGATCTGTGAACACGTGACCGACGATCTGCCTCGTCGTTTTGTTGACGTTGTTGACATCGTAGAGGATGTCGTCTATCATATCGGTGGTGGAAATCTCCCGCCTGTACTCGTTGTAGTCCTCTTTGTTGGTGGGCATCATATTCTTCGACAGATATTTCCTGAACTTGTGGTACATGTCGTCGATGGTCTTCAGATCGGAGTAGAGCAACAGGAAGGTGTCGGCTTGCCTGGCGACTCGTAGACCGTGTAGAAGTCCTTGCGGCATCTGGAATCGAGAATTTATTTGTTTTTCCACCACTAGCTATAAAACCTACCATTATTTACATCTTTTCGAGGCGTTAAGTCTGTTTTTACTACCAAGGTAGTTTTCGTCATTTTATGAACCACTAGTCAATAATGACATAGCCACATCTGTTATAATTAACCCGAATTCACTGCTCTAATGCGATATTCGCAAAAATGGGACTCGGATCTAGTACGTATTTATCAATAACAGCTTGACATATGCTGTCATTGTTATCCCTACTAATTGAAGGGAAGTGCATTCATAGAGACAAAAAATGTATCTACAACTATGGAGTCATTCATACATTGCTAACTTGATTTTCAACATTCATAATGACATACATTATTGTAATGAATCGAGTAATAAGAGTAATAATGACAGTGGGATGGGGTGATAATCTGACAATCTTGTCAAATTCAACTAGGTAGGTATTCGTTCTACTAGTTCTACTAAAGCACACCACTATACTACTGTTTGTGAAATACACGCAAATTCAAAGGACTCACTTCACATGGTTCTCATAGTTTAAATCACCTTAATTCTACAAATACACGAAAAAATGAGAATTCACTGTTTTTCATTCTTAACAGTGACTACCATCATGAGTCACCATTACTATAAAATGGACTTGACACTTGACAGTTGCAGATTGGCTCACACTTATGTGCGGGCTATTCGAATAGATTAGTACAGACCAATCAGAACCAAAGTGTAGTTTATTGAAATCTAGTAATTACTTTCGACTCGGAAAATAAACCACTAGTGCATACAATGTTGTATGTATCACGTGCGTGAAATGCGTTTATCGCCCTCTGCGTGTGATGGCTTCTTTTCTTTATTCACGCCGCAGGCTAAACGCCTGCTTTACGCATTTGATACATAAATAACTACTTTGCATGTCTGGGTGTGAAGATGCGCTTTATCGCCCGGTTCGGCGGGCCTATAGTAAGTCTAGAGCGATAAAGCGGGCGGTCATAGATATTTTCAAGTAACTTTGTAGTTTTTGGATGTATGAAAAACTGATATTCATCATACAGGACGTGGAAAGAAATTCTGAATTGAGAAAGGAATATTAAACACGGGGAATCTCTAGCTGTCGCGTTGGACATTTCGAAAGCATTCGACCGTGTTTGGCACGAAGGACTCCTCCACAAACTACCATCATACGGCTCACCACCTCAGCTATGCCATCTCTTATCGAGTTTTCTTTCAGGCAGTTCGCTTCACGTAGTGGTGGACGGTGTATCGTCTGATACCATTGGCATCAATCCCGGCGTTCCACAAGGATCAATTTTGGCACCAACATTATTCCTGCTTCATATCAATGATCTGTTGGGAGTAACAACTTGCCCCATCCACAGCTTTGCAGATGATAGTACCCTCCATACTGCGTTCTCTTCCAGAATTCCCATTTCTTCCCAGGAAACTGAGACCTCACGGCGCAGGCAGGTCAATGCTGTCAATGAAGATCTTGCTGAAATCACAGCCGGGGGAACAAACAACCTAGTTGAATTCAACGCCACCAAAACTCAAGCCTGCATTTTCTCTAGAAAGGCGGAACTCAGTATGCCCGATATTGTAATGTCTGGCTCCACCATCCCCACCAAGCCCACCATATCTATGCTCGGTATTTCCATCAGCAACACTCATGGGATAATCATGTCAGATCCATCGCAAAAGCTGCTTCACAAAAACTCGGATTCTTGTTCCGTGCGAAAAGTTACTTCACACCTCAACAGCTTCTCATGATCTATAAAGCGCATATACGGCCTGTTCTAGAATACTGTTCCCACATATGGGGTTCAGCACCAAAACATACGCTGATGCTCTTAGATTCCATCCAGAGAAGAGCCATTCGCCTGGTGGGTGACACCACACTCACTTACTCATTGACATCATTGGAACACCGTAGAAAGGTCGGCGACCTTTCACTTTTCTATCGATACTTCCACGGGCAATGTTCTTCGGAAATCTCTGCTATCATCCCTTCACTAACAATACCAATCAGACGAACTAGACAAGCCCATTCAGCACATTCTTTCGTTGTCAACCTCGAAAGATGTCGAACAGCACTTTATCAAGGCTCCTTCATCCATAGAACGGCTAGGCTCTGGAATTCATTGCCTGTGGAAGTATTCCCAACAACATAATATAATCTCCAAAAGTTCAGAAAAAATTCCAATACCTACCTCCTGTCCCTATCCTCCCTAGGAACGCACGATATTATTTGAACATTATAGGGATTCCCTTTCGTGCGCTCCAAGCGACCAAAAAAAAATTCTCAGATAAATTATGAACATGAAAAAATTTATATATACATATATAACAATTTAGAAAAACAAGAATCCCATAATATATCAACGAGCTCTATTCGAGAATGTGAAAAAATTTGAAATATTTGGATTTTCAAACCTACTTCTGTTTGTTGAAGGGGTCAAAATTTCGATAACGAGTATTAGGCAATTTTTTTTCGAAACTTTGACTAGCCTATTCGATTGAAGCATAGCTGAAATACTCCCATATGTATATGTTAGCATCTTCAGGAGAAGATTGAAACTAAGACAGGTTTAATCTTCTGAAGATGCTAACATAGGTAGCGAAACACGTGGCGAGGTGTAAAAAATCGGTTTGGTTAGTGGTAAAACTGTGTGTAATGTCGATATAGTAGCTCAATCTCTCAGTTTTTACAACTAGCTAAAGTTAGTAGAAATAAATATTTTCTTACATAATATAGGGTGAATTCGACGTAATCTGAAGTTGAATGTCAATGTAAATTTTACCTATAAACGTCAAAAAATGTCCAGTGTAATTTCATGCTCCTTCCCCCAGGAAACAATGACATTTGTTAAGTTGCTATCGTAACGATACAAAATACAGGCTTTTAATTGGTCGAACATGTTAGGCGTGAAATGCCAATGATAGTTTCACTAAAATTGACGTGTTTGATTCGAGCTGTGATGATAACAACATGGCAAATTTGGATTAAGTTTCATGTTTTCGATGGATAAATTGTTTTTTCCGGTAAATAAAGCACGATTTTCTCATTTGAATCAATTAAAGTATGTTCAGCTTATTCTCTGAGCAATAACGAAACAAAAATACATTCTGTTGGAATTTTACGTTATCTCAAACTAATTTTCTTCAAAGAGTGATAATTTACGAGCTGGTACTATCAGTTGGTGTCAACCAATTTTTTACTCGAAAAGTACTATAGGTTGATGTTGAATATTCCTTGAAACTTATAGATATGCGTGATAATTATGTTGATCTGTTTGGTATCCTGGAATGTTGTTATTGTTATTCACTCACTAGACATGTTGCAAAAGTTCAATTTCTGTGTATTTATACAAGGTCTCCCAAAATAACATTCGTTCATTCCAGGAAGTGATTCTACTACTAAAAATATGAGGAAAAGTTGCTATCAACATGGACTTGCTTCGTTTGCGAGGCACAGGACGTTGAAAATGAAAAATATGAATACCTAGATATTGTTTGTAGATTAATCGAGGAGGTCGGATATTCATTTCACTTGATGTTTGGGATTTTCTCTCCTATTCTATGGATAAAAATACCGGGTGAAACCATTCAAGTTATCGTTGTGCGGTTTGGACTAGTCTATTTTGATGTTTCTCAAGTTTTTTTTGACGTGTTCATCTTCTCACTTGATCTTCCGGTTCTACCGGAAACAAACAAGCAATAATCCAGGTATAGGGCAACTTTTTTATTTCATTGAATCACCCTGTATATTTTTGCACATTCAGAAAGACTGGTCTTTTTTCTATCTAACAATGTATTACAAGGTATGTTCTCCTAGAAAACTATTGGAGTTATAACTCTTTGAAACAACTACTGCTTGTGGAATGGTTTAATGAGATTATGCAATTTTATCAAAGTTGCCCTATACCGGAATAATGGCTTGTTTGTTTCCGGTAGAACCGGAGGTTCAGGTGAAAAGGTGAACCAGTCAAAAAACTTGAAGAATATCAAAATAGATAAGTCCAAACCGCACAATGATAATTTGAATAGTTTCGGAGTTATGAGCAGTTGAAATGGGTCAGAATATAACTGGTCACCCGGTATTAATATCATTTCAAAGGGAGCTCAATGAAAAACGTCGAAAATTTTAGTATTCCACTTGTTTCTTTACACGAACGTTATTCTGAAGAACCCCGTATTTTTGAATTCATAGTCCGATATACGTTATCTTCGTAGGAAGATACCCTGACTCAAAATAAACGATAATAAAAACAAACAATAACGTAGATCTCATGTTTCTTTGTCTTAAATCGGATTGAATACATTAATAATAATAATAAATATGGAATAATCCATGATTTATACAGGAATCATAACGACTGTCATATCATAAGAAACAGACTCATTTTCAGCATATTGTGATTTGAATTATGTATTTGGGTAGGTACCTATTGATTTTGGAATCGATTCGATGAAAATAATGATGAATAACCAACATTTCAGACGATTGAGCACAGCACATGCGGAAATTAGTCATGTAGGTAAGTCAAAATTCTCAAGTTTTAAGAGATAAATATTGGGTAACTTTTCTCATGATTCAAGACTAAAACTTGAGACTTATAACAAAGTTGAAAAACATTCCAAATGAAAATCAAAGACTTAACTTTCCAATGACTCATCACTTGTTGTTCAAAACTTATAACTAAAATAATTGCATAAATCCACAATTTTAGTGTCGGTATTGGAAGGAATCTACTAAGCTCATAACTGAAAGTTATCTTGATAAGACTGCTCATACGATTTTATAGATTTTAGCTTGAGCCTTAGAGTCGACCTTGAAAGTTAATTCATTTGTTATGATATGCTTATGATGTGTTCATTTGTTTATGCTCATATGTTATGTTGAATCTGCGCTTGTTCCATTGAAATGTTATTGAGTGAATTGTTTACATAATTTGAAATTGATATATCCAAAAGGTATTATTGGTGAGGCTGTTAGTTCAATTTTCCTCTTGTCTGAAACAAAAAGAATACAAATTCTCCCCTAATTCTTATGCTTCAATGAAGTTTTAATGTTTCTAGATGAATACCTCAAGACAATAGTTAATGCAAAGTCTGTGCTTAGAACTAATAAGAGTAATTGATCATGTTGAAAATTTGATGATTCATACTTATTCACCTACTTGATTCATCTTGGTATTGTCGAACGTATGAAATTTGCTGATGATCTCTAGTCCCGGATCGTCCAAACCGGTACGATGGTTCCTATCCAGCACCAAGTCCCACAGTTCGTCTTCCAGTCTCAGAAAATCCAGTCTGAGCTGGTCGACTAGCAGGTTCTCGATGCACATCGCCGGACCCGATAAACCGCACAAACATAGCAATGGCACTATCGCGAAGTGCTTCAGTTCCATAGTGGACGGCTTCTCCTCGGAAGTGATACTGTTCTCGAGAGGTTTGGAGATCGCTCGAATATTGTTTATCTCCACGGTTTGAACTGTGGTGACTTCTTATTCATGGGCGCGTGCAAGGGTAAATTGGGATGTAAACGAGGTGGTCTCTGATAAGCAATTAACCTATTTTGATCACTAATTTATTAGCCTGTCTTGAAACCACCTCATTTAATAAAATTCTAATTTCCAACAAAAAGTATTTCTTGCCGAGCGAGACAGATCGGCAAGTAGGTACTTGAATAAGTCGTATTGAAATGCTACATAATCATTCACTATTTATCATAATCAACTTACCTATTATATCTGAAGTCCCAGCTAGCAGCTCGTGACACATCCACGTGTATATGCATCGCACTAGTGAAATATCCCAGCGAGCACAAAAACATCTCAGAGATGTTAAAAGTACGAGATTTCGAGACATTGAACCTCCACTGCGATGTTCTGTTCACACATGAATAGAACTATTATAGAACAGCCAATGTCCGCCGCAGGCGGCAATTATCGAGATGTCTTTGATATGTCACAAAACTACCTTCTCCCTAGTTCTTTTTGAAGCCTTTTCATGGACACAACAGAACATTTTTAACGCGTCTCGCGCACATCGCTGTAAAAAAACATTTTCGAGGTATTTTTCTGAAGCCTTTTGTCAAAATGAACTCTTGCTTGCATCTGATGGTCATTATTACAAACTAAATAAGTCATCTAACACAATAAACTTCACCAAATTTCTTTATGTTCGTTAGCAGCGTTATGTAAGCGTGACACGCTGCAAACGCGAATGCCAATTGCGAACAAGAAGAACAAAATCGAAAACAAATCAGAATTCATCGTATTGTGACATAAGCATTAGACTCGTGGGGCAAACAAAGAAAGGGCATAAAAGAACAAAAACAATACTTTCAATATCCTTCTAAGACCTCTTTGGGAAGTGCATAGTACGCCTCAACAAAACATCCTCATGCCTACATTTCTAAAACATCCCAAAACATCCCAGGGATACCTCTCAGTAGGCAAACAAAGAAATGCCACAGAAGAACAAAAACAATACTTCAATATCCTTCGAATACCTCTTTGGTCAGTACATATTACGTCTCAAAATAACATCTTCATGTCAACATTTTCAAAACATCCCAAAACATCCCAGGGATGTTTGTGCTCGCTGGGATCCGAGCTTGCACACTCTTCAATCACAGTCTATTACTCTTCTTTGAGACATTCTTTAGTTATTATTTGAAACAATGAATTACGTTAACTTTACTCTCAATCTCAAATAAACCTGGAAAAGGGAGGAGGTCCATTAATCAAACTATTCGGTTACCTAACTGAATTAACTATGTTTTCCGTCGATCTCGTATTAACTACTAAGTTTAATGTATATGAAATCGTTCATTAATGACCCCTATTATTGAACGATTTGTCTATTAATGCACGATTGTTTTATAGGCAACCAAACATACACCGCGTGCATTCATTGTTTATGCTATAACTTACGGAATCTGCATTTAAATCGGAAATATGGATTTCATCGAAGATTTTCCGTTAACGGGTTCACCTTTCCAAGTTTCTGACACCATTTTAATCCCTGTTTTCTAACACAAGGAATTTATTTTCTATGTTGATCATTTCGACAAATGTCAAATGTCACTAATGTCAGTAAGAAGGCTACTGATGGGTGATTCCAGATGAATGATGAATTCGCGAACCAAGTTTTCTTCATTGCAGGAGAAATGAGAAATATAGTCGACGGAAAAATTTTGTAACCAACTTGTATATCAAAAGGCGATTAATGATCTCGAACATTAACGCGCTCGCTTCGCTCGCACGTTAAAATATCTCGATCACTAATCGCCCTCATTAATACACTAGTTGGTTAAATAACTATTATTATCAGCTGGATAGTAAATGAATGAGTGATTGAAAGTAGGATCTGGACCTAACTAAATGACATAAAACTGACTTGATATTTACTGCATCCTAAGACTAGTTGAGAAATAGTGATAATTGAATATTAACCGTAAAGAACCATGATAATTGAGTTATCAACTCGAGTAGTTGATAACTCTTCAACTCATAATGGAAGTGAAGATTTCAAATAACAGATTACTTTACCAGCGTTCCGCCTATCACGTGACACAACTGAACAGAACAAAACTCAAAAACGAACTTCCACAAAATTGTGCCAAACATTACTTTTGTATGCTGAGTGTATCACGTGACATGCGAAAACCCAGCGCCAAATTGTATCTGGCCAATCATGTGATGTTATTCCATCGTTTGAGTGGTATTTATAAATCTCTCAACTACAGCTTGCATCCAAAGGAAACCATAAATCCCTAGGGATTTAAAGTACCACTTTTTTCCCCGAAAATAGGAATTTAAAGTACCACTTTTCTTTCTGAAAATATAGGGAATAAAGGTAGGTACCCTTTAAATTCCTGAAGTGCATAAATTTATATTATTTATATTATATTCCCTATGAATACTCATAAAACAACAGTCAATACAATGGACCACGTGATATAATAAAGAAAATGTTTTTATTTTAATTGGAACACCCTGAATATTTGATCTTTTTTCTGAATTCGAACAAAAGTATCCGCTATCGAAATCGATTCAACCATCATATTATATCCCTCTGCGACCAAACTCCATTAAAATTTCGTGTTTTTCATTGAAATTTTTGTTCAGTTAATTGATAGTGATGAATGTTATAATTTTATCTAAGCATAATAACCTCGAAAATATTAATGACCTACTGCTCTGAAGATATGAGAAAAGTGCAGTGTCTAGATAATTTTTATTGTGGGTAGATAATTACTTATTCTTGATGCATATTGTTTATAAAGAACATAGCTGGATTGATTAATGTTTTTAACCTCATGTATTCAGTGAGTGAGTGAGCAATTGAATTCTTTGAAGGTGATGAACTCCAAATCACGTTTTTTTTTGTTTTTTTTTGTTCCATTTTTATGCGAACAATATTTTGAAAAGGAACACAATGGTATTCATTGATAAAAAGTAACTGTCAGAGGATTAGTGGGCTATTTCATCATCTTTAATCAGTGTTAGATTGAAATCTTTGTGAAAATCAGTGCACGATATGATTTCACTTTTTTGTGACCATTCAGAAGGATATGCTGCATCAACTATTGAAACATGTATATCGAGTAACGTTGGTACCTCACATTATATCTTGGTTTATAAGAAATTGAAAAAATTGAGTCTACAGATACGGCCAGTTATAGAATACTGTTCTCATGTATGGGGTTCAGCACCCCAAAAAGATAGATTCCATCCAGAGAAGAGCCATCCATCTGGTGGGTAATGCCACGCACTCACCAATTCTTTGACCCCATTTAGACACCGTAGAAAATTTGGCGACCTTTCACTTTTCTATACATAGTTCCACGGGGAATGTTCCTCAGAAATTTCTGCTACAATTCCATCACTAACAATACCAGTCAGACGAACTCGACAGGCCCAGTCAGCACATCCCTTCGTCGTTAACCATGACAAATGTCGAACAACACTCTATCAAAACTCGTTCGTCTATAGAACGGCGAAGCTTTGTAATTCTTTGCCAATTGAACTATTCCCAAGAACTATAACCTCCAAAAGTTCAAAAAAATTTCAATACCTACCTCCTCTCCCTATCTTGTCTAGGTACACGCGATGTTCCACGAACTTTAAAGGAATTTCCTTTCGTGCATTCCAAGAGGAAATAAAAGGTCGTACTCAAGAGTCAAATATATTCGAATTCTTATTTCACCTTCCAATTTATGCGATTTAACCTTTAGAGATTGAAAACTTTAGCCGCACCCGAAAACGGTTTTTTCAATGTACCGAAGTAGTGAATTTATATTTCTCAAGATATCTAACGTTTTTAAAGTTTTTGTGACCTTGGGAAAAATATTGAAAAAGTAGTTCAGTGAAATCGAGTAAAAAACAAATTCCAATTGGGTCATTTTTGAGAAATCCTGAAGTATACATTTTTTGGAAATTCACGAAGACTTCGTAGGCATATGTATTTATGAATGAATTCCAAGAGTTTTCTGCCTTACTATATTTTATTCAGTAATCATCCCTTTCACTTTGAAATCTTGGATCACAGTCAAATATATCTTCTATTTATAATGATACATTTCACTCTTAAGCATATAATTCCATTTATAAAATCAATAATAAATTTCCATAATCACAATACTGTTCCCACATATGGGGTTCAGCACCAAAACATACGCTGATGCTCTTAGATTCCATCCAGAGAAGAGCCATCCGCCTGGTAGGTGACGCCACACTCACTCACTCTTTGTCATCATTGGAACACCGTAGAAAGGTCGGCGACCTTTCACTTTTCTACCGATACTTCCACGGGAAATGTACTTCGGAAATCTCTGCTATCATCCCTTCACTAGCAATACCAGTCAGACGAACTAGACAAGCCCAGTCAGCACATCCTTTCGTTGTCAACCTCGAAAGATGTCGAACAGCACTTTATCAAAACTCCTTCATCCATAGAACGGCTAGGCTCTGGAATTCATTGCCTGAGGAAGTATTCCCAACAACATATAATCTCCAGAAGTTCAAAAAAAATTCCAATACCTACCTCCTATCCCTATCCTCCCTAGGAACGCACGATCTTCTTTGAACATTATAGGGATTCCCTTTCGTGCGCTCCAAGCGATAAAAAAAAGGATAGACATTTTCTCCACTTCTTTTGATTTTGTCCAGTCCCCTGGATAAAATTGAGGAAATGGGCATTATTGGATGAAATGGAAAAAATTGACAAAACCATTGAATAGAAAGATATTTGTTTTACTATTCGCAAATTTTGCTTTCGCTCTGCCTCGCAAATGCTAAACTCGCTTGTCAAACAAAGTGTCACTTTTTATACTAATAAAAAAATCTACTATCTTGTTTCTTGAAGACATATTTCTCTTATGACATTGGGAAACATATCGAAGAAGTAACGTTCTAGTGTAATCAAAGCAGGTAAAATACAAATTTTCAATTGGTCAGGTTGAGCTGAAATATTGAAATACACATCTTTTTTTTATTCATTTAAAATTCACGAACATTTGAGGGCATAATATACATGCATGAATGAATCCCTAAAATTGTTCAGCTTATCACTTATTCAATTATCGTCCATTTTAGTTTAAAATCCTGAATCACAGTCGAATATATCTGCTATTTTTAATGATATATTTCACTCTTAAGCATAAAATTCCATTTATAAAATTGATAAAAATCATTTTAATAATCACAATGCAATTTTAGGAAAAACATCTGAAAACTGTATTTTTCTCACCATTTGAGACTATTACTATCTATGCTATCGCTTAATACAAAACACAATCTAATTTAAATAAAGAGCTCAATTGACCTCTTCTTCGGGAAAAGCGGCCTTCAAATGCTTGCTGAAATCGTACGTGATCAATTTGGGGGTAACAAACCCGCCGAAGAAGGGCCTGCCCTTGTGGAACACCCCGGCGCCCGAAAGCGGCACCGCCTGAAGCGATTCGAGCTTTTGGGCGTCCAAAAACGGCACCGTCGTCTGCCCGGCGTCCCTGTCCAAGTCCGAATTGGTGAATTCGATGTATTGGTCACTCCTCGAATCCGGTACGGAGGGGGAGGGAGACCTGATGGGGATGTCCGGCTGGTTGAGGTGCACTTTCGTCCTGGAACGTGAGATGAATTAGTTACGAACATAATTTTTTTTACCTTGAGTTGATTAGAGTGACTATGGCAACATTGCAAACGCATATGACGACAATTAATAGTTGCCCACTTTTTGATTGGTCAATCCTCAATATGAAGGTGTATCCACCTGTCTTGTTTTCTCTATTCATCAGTTTACCGCTTTCTATTTCACTTTGTCAATGTCTCTGTGTTTTGCTTTTTGGACACAAAACATCCGACAATCAGACATCAAACTCTATACGTCAGTTCCTTGGCTATTACTATTAAAATCCGTCTTTTGCGACTTATAAGTCTCAGATCGAAATGAAAATATCGAATATCTAAACCTAACATCAGATGAGCACTTCGAAGGCGCAAATTCATTACTGCATAGGAGATACCCTTCAGATATTTAGCTATTCAGTGACTTGATCAATCTACTCACTCTAGTAGGTAACAAGTGACTGGGTCTATGCAGCCCTCTACTGCTGTGGCTCACACGAATTCATACTTCACCAAGTAGATCCAACTTCTTGATGAAGCCGATTCGATTACTTGGTGAGAGACCGACAGCCCAAGTCTTGACATGTGATGATTCAGACGACAGTGGCCTGTAAGCAGGTCTGTTACAGAGCGTAGGTCATCCCCTTTGTATTCTACTACTTGTTTGGTAACATTCTTCGAAGAATGTTAAATGCCTTGGAATGAGCCAATCCTGGTGTTTGGCAAAACTTGGTGAGATGCCAAGGGCAGGTTCTGGTCCAATGAAACTACTTGCGACTACTTGCAAGGGAATCTGCCGTTTGGTTACCTTCCATACCAGAGTGACCAGGGATCCAGACCAGAAACAATTTATTAAGCATTCCGATTGCGGAGTTTTTTTTGTTGGCTGAGTCTATTGTTCTACCAGTCTCAGGACATTAGTAGAAATTTCTCTAAATAATGTTACTATCCCCAACATTTTCATTTCGATGTCATTTTCAGGATGAATGTAGTTTCAAAACCTGAACCGTTCTTATTGTCATATTTTTGCTTCCGGTTCGTTGCAATTATATGATTTTCATTGAACTGAATTAGAGTGACCTTGAGTTGGTTAGAGCGACTTAGGCATTATGCAAACGCATTTCAACATGGGGGGCGACACTACAAATCCCAGGACAGCAGTAGAAATTTATAGAAAAAATGTTTTACTGCTACTCAACTGCCCACAAAAATTTAATTCAGTTTATATTCATAAATCGTTGTATATGAATTTCATTCGAGAACTGAATTCAGTTATATTCAATGTTCATGTTTTTTCTTTTTCATCAATACCCTCAATTCAGAAAATTTTGCCGTATTATCATTTGACAACAATGACTTTGTTTTTAAAAATCATAATTATGTTTTCGCTAGTGAAAACCTGCAATTAAAATGTATATTCTAGTCACCATGATTCTTTTTCCAATCTGATTTTGAAAATGAAAAATATTTATCCCCAACTTTTGAAGAGAATAATCTATCTAATTAGTGTGCAATTATTACTACTATATAATTCAATTGGCTTCTTCATTTCCTCTTAATTTTTGAAAAATCTTGTAAGCTTTTTGTTATTTTGTTCTTTAAAATGTTGCTACTTACGGTTTGCTGAATCCTTGCTTTCTATAATTTCAAAACAAGTTTGAAAATCAGTAGCAATATTTTGCCATTCCAATCAAGAACACGATATCATAAGGTTCAAAATAGCCTCATGTTTTTCAGATATTATTCTTGGAAATAACATGCATAAATAGCATTTTTATCTTCATATCAGTTAGGGTAGTATGGACAAGGTTCTCAGTTAGAACGGCAGAATCATCCAATCAAACTTACCTTGGATTCGACCTAGAAGAATCTGTATTCGGGTTATCTTTCCAAATACTAGTACTCTGAGGATTGATAAGTTTTCCTGTGTCGAAATCAAACTTGGTCACGTATATCTCGAAATTCAGATGGGAACCAATTTCCTTGAAACGAATACCTGAAAATCAAAATCGTTAAGACATCGGATAATACATGATGGACTAGAGAATGGTACTACAAATAAATCATTCTGCTGATAAGCGGCACTCCCAGATTCACTCGCATACTCTAAACGTCAGATTGTCTCAATTGTTAGCATACCGAGGGCAGCCGATGAGGCCTGGTGGATCGAAACAGTACGGTCTCACTCTTAGTTAGGATATATTATTATTTTTAAATCGTTGAGACATTGGAATTTCAAATGGTAATGGAAATATCGAAGTGTATCGAATTATTTTTCCAGCTTAGAAAATTTTCGTACCTGTGAGTATATACCCAGGATCAGCTTCTAGATCATCAAGATCTAAAGCTCGCTTTTCCCAAGTGAATGTGTGATAGTCCTGTCCGTTGAAGATTTTGCTGTCAGTTATTTTGTACTCTTCAACCGGCACCCAATGTACTGTGTTGATATCAATCCTACCTCTCTCGATCAATTTTCCTTCCTGAATTTGAAGATGGATGATACGGTTTTTCTTCACAAATCTCATTCCAGTTACAATCCTGGAAGAAGCTTGAAATTAGTCGAAAGATATTCACAGTATACATTTTCAACTTACATGTTATTGTCAGTATCAGCTATAGAAGGTCTCATATTCACGTATCTGTCAGAGTTGCTTCCTTGCTCGTCGCACAGACAGAAACAATACGAGCAGTGCCAAAACAGATACCTCCACCAACTGTCCACTTTGGTTGATCCTCTGCTGCATCCCTGTTTTCGTCCCAAAACCCTACCGTTCTCATATTCGATGTATTCGTATCGACGACCGCTCAATGGATCCTAAAAACGATGATTGTAGATAGAAGGAGAACTATAATTCCGCACTAAAATCGTACATAAATAACTATGTTCTCTCAAAGAAAAACAAAATACACAAAGTCTTCGTGTGTGTGTGTGTGTGTTCTTTGAAAAAATCTGGACCACTTTGAGAAGGATGGATGGTTTCCATGACTTATGTTCTCTCACTTACCGCTGGACAAATCCACATGTCAGAGTCGAAGTATCGGCAGTTTATGATTTTACCATTACATCTCCTCTGTTGTCTACAGTAAAGGTTCTTGAAACAGTCGTGACTCTTTGTGTATGTATATTCGGCGCAGTTTTCTCTGCAAGTACCTTCCGAGTTGAGATCCACTTCATTTTGGACATAACCTTGCAGGAGTTGAGTAATTTCTTCATAGGTATCTCCTAAAACAGACCAAAAACTTGTGTAAGTCATAGTTTCCACAAGGTTTGATTCAATATCACATCGAACTATTGAACTATTGATCTTTCATAGAATTTGAAGAAGATCAACTGAGATGAAACAACTTGGGTAACACTCTTGTTTCAAACTATTATTGTGGCGCTGTCAGGACTGAAGTTTTTTCAGTTGCATACATTTGTCTGGCATGGTCACACACCAAGAGGTCAAATATTTTTAAGTAAAAGCGCAGGCTGGTAAATTCTGATTTTTTTCGAGGTGATTAATGGTACTACGAAGAACCAATCCCTTCGTGGTAGTGTGTAGAAAGGTCTGGTGTACTTACCAAACACTGCACCACCTTCAAGGCTGGTCTGACTGTAGTATCTGATGACACTTCAAGTTTTTAGTCGAATGTGACGTCATTGATTGTACCATACCCGACCCATGGTTTTGTTCAGCATGGGTTGGGTATGGAGTTGATCAAGATAGGGAATATTGAAAAGGGAAGAGAAAGAGGATATCGCCCAAGAGGAGTTGAAATTTGGTGAATATCTGACTAGGGTACCTCGGGTACATCATTCCCGTACTCACAAGTTGTAAGCCCCTAAGGGGCTTTTGATTGATTCTACAGTATTTTATCGGCTCAGAGATAATAGCTATGTATATATCAAGGGAGCAAAGGAATTCATTTCCTCCCGCGTGTTGAATTTGGGAGGTAATATTATTTTTCCTGCCGTAAGAGTAAATTGATATTAAATATGACATGAATGTGTATTTATGCCACAGTCTAGTGATGAAGCCTAAAACTACTACAGGCACTGTTCACTAGTACCCTGACGGTTCTGTGTATTGAGTAGACTTGACCTGTGTATTGAATTTCTGGACCTAAAGGATATCTCACGACATTTGTTTGTGTCACTCTCTTAGAAAGTCTAGCTCCAGACCAGGCTTGATTTTTTATTCATTTCTGAGCATCTACCGACTTACCTTTGATGTGTTTTTTGGGATCACAGTTCCACAGTTGCCTGGAAGAATTCGTCATGGCATTCCTCATGACTTCGATAGCATTATTCGTTCGTTGTTCGTATCTGTCTCTCATTATTTGAGCTTCGGTGGTGAAATTTCCTGCAAATGAAACGAGAGAGATGTTTTTTATTAGGTCCAAATTCATTTATTCGATAGATACCTTGATTGTATAGCCTGAGCAGCATGTACGAAAATTGTATCATGGTATAGCCTTTCAGTTCCGTTATTGCTATGGTATTGTATAAATTGTAAAGGACTTGTTGAGGTGATTGCTTCGCATTACAAAGCATGTCTCCTTCTACTTCCTGTAAATAAGAATATTCATACAAATGATACAGTCTGTGAATTATTTAGTTCTTTATGTTATTCATTATCATCAGTTTAGTTGAAGATTCCCTTGTTCTTTGTGTGCGGATGTATTCGTCGAATGCTCTATCAATCGTCCGTGTGCATCGTGCCTTCCGTTTGATGTATAACATCGCTCTCTGTAGCCAAATTTCCTATCGATGATGATGATATGCTCATCACATGAACAATGATAAAACTAGGATGATACTGACAAATGACATGACAATTGGGAAGTACACGCTAGTCGAGTTTACGCCACATACCTATTTTGTATTGATATTTCCATGTATGGATATTATTCGATGCAATCATTAATACTCTTTTTTAATGATAAAAGTTAGTACTTTCCAAAAACGCTAGCTCTTGATAACGTTATACCTTCACAACCACCATAGCTCTTTGAACATTATAGGGATTCCCTCTCGTGCGCTCCAAGCGATAAAAAATAATAATAAAAAAAAAAAAACGTAGGGGTGTACTGATGAGCTATACACAAAACATAGGTAAGTAATATCGTATTGCATTGGATAGGTCACCTTTTCCCACGTCTCTCATGTTATGAAATATCGTTGATTTTACTACTTATTCGAGAAATTAAGGGAGTTTTGAGGAGAAAACGGCTTATATTCGCTTTTAAACTCCAAAAGAAATTTTGGCTCAGAAATACCAACTATAGTGGCCACCACAGCACGTGGTTGAAGCGTCAATGTTCTATCCACGTTGGATTGCCGGTAGGTGGGTTCGATTCCCACCACGACCGCAGAAATTTTTCTGATGGCCTAAGAAAGTGTTTGGGATCACACGTTGGAAGGTAAGATCCCCGTCATTCCTTGCTCGCACAAGTCTCTCGAAGACTTCTGAGGGTTGCTCGTAAGGGGGCAACCGAATGATAGGAACAATTTTAGAACAATTTTATAGTATATTTCATTCCTGTTAAGTCTATGGTCATGTATTTACGGGTATATTTATTTCTATCAAGAATTTTCTTCGCCACACAATCTCATCTTTTTAATACCGGAAGTTTAATCGAGGTATGTTCACTTCAAAACTCCAAAAGATATTTTGGGCACAGTCTCGATACCGTCTTTACCATAGGGGCACACGGGGCCCATACCCAGGGCCTCCCATCCTCAGGGGGGTCCAAAGGAGCGACAATTTCCCACATTTATTCAAAATATTTTTGTCGAGCACAATACCTAAAAGCACCACCGCCAAAATTTTAGTGAAAGTAATAGAAAGTAATTGTATATTGGAAATCCATCTTCTCTTCAAAGGAAACAAAATTGTTGACACATTTTCAAATGTAAAAATTGCATTGAGAATCTTTTTATAAATGATGGTAACAAACAGCAGTGACGCTTCTTCTCCCAATTGAAAAGAATTAAAAATGTATTGAGAACTGAAATGTTTCAAGAGAGATTGAGGAATTCCATATAGAATGTGATAATGCTGCTCCAAAAAAATGAATTTTGAAAAAGTAACTAATGATTTGCCCATCTCAAATCTATTCCATACATTTACATTTGAAGCGAAAAAAACGATGTGACGACGGACTAAGAGATTCTAGGAAAATTTCGTGAAACGATTATCAGCCGGTGCAAGACGACAGTTGAAATTTTAGGTTTCTCATCATCTGTCGGTGGGACATTAAATTACTGTGAAAATTTCAAGGGTGAAATAGTCTGCATAACTGTGTCATTTTTGTCTTTGTGTAATAATATGAATGTAGGGGTCTATATACGACTTACTCTCAAGGTATGGTTGTTTAAACAATCTACTGATACACCTTTGTACTTTTGCCACTAGATGGCTCTAAAGACTAGGTCATCCTGCTACTCTTCGGGGCATTTGATTTACTCCATACATTGTTGTTTGAAGCGGCGAAAACGATGCTGAAGAACAAAAGTTCGTCTACCGACAGACATTCTCAAGCCTAGCAACTACAGACCGATCGAACTGCTATCTATTATTTCAAAGATCATGGAGAATCCTATCAACATCGAGCTCATGAAATACCTGGAACATTCAGGTATTATCAACGATAGGCAATATGGCTTCCGTCATCAGAGATCAACTGGTGACCTGCTCGCTTACGTCTCACATATATGGCAGCAATCTATTGAAAAATATGGTGAAACTTTAGCCGTGGCACTTGATATCTCCAAGGCATTCGATCGAGTCTGGCACCACGGACTCCTCGCCAAGCTTCCATCTTATGGCTTGCCTTCCCAGCTATGTTCTCTGCTAGCTAGTTTTCTCTCAAACAGTGGTCGACGGAGTTTCATCTGACTCTCTTATCATAAATGCTGGTGTTCCGCAAGGATCAATTCTAGCACCAACACTATTTCTACTTCATATCAACGAATTGTTGGAAGCAACTTCATGTCCAGTACACAGCTTCGCGGATGATGGTATCCTCCATACCGCCTTCTCTTCCAGGGCTCCAGCCAGGCAAATCAGAAACGAACGAGGAAGAAATGTTGACAACATACATATGGACGCGGCAACAATTCTTGAATGGGGATCCAATAACTTGGTAGATTTCAATGCAAACAAAACACAAGCATGCCTTTTCTCTAGAAAAGCCGATCTCACTGTGCCCAACATAAGCTCATCAGAAGTAACCATACCTTTGAAGACATCTATTTCGATGCTTGGTATTACTCTCAAGTCTCAAGACATATCTAATGCCTTCGCTCAATTTTTTCAGCATTCTTATGCAACTCCCAAAAATACCACTTTTGCTGATTCATTCAATACCTAATATTCCTTCTTTGACGATACCTGAAGTGACTGAAGAGCAAGTATTAGTCTCATTAAAAAAACTTAACTAGCGGACCTGACAACATCCCATCTTTCGTCTTGCGTGATTGCGCAGCTGCCTTCATGAACCCGCTTCGTACGTTATTCAATTTATGTCTCTCAACTAATACTTTTCCTACACTATGGAAAGAATCGAAAATTATACCGGTCTATAAGAAGGGGCCTAAATCAGACATTTGCAACTACCGCCCTATAGTAATTATTAATAATTTTTCAAAATCTTTTGAAATTCTTCTCTACGATGAAATCTATTCGCACGTTAGAAATCAAATTACCCCTAGTCAACATGGTTTCTTCAAAGGAAGGTCAACGGTCACAAATTTAGTTTGCATCACAGAGAAGTTATCTGATACCATTGATGATAGCTCTCAATGTGATGTAATTTACACGGATTTTTCGAAGGCATTCGATAGGCTGGACCATGGAACTCTACTTCACAAACTTTCGAACTATGGACTAACTCCAAATCTCACATCATTTTTCCAATCTTACCTTCTTGATAGAAAGCAGTATGTAAGCTTCCATGGTCATAGGTCTATTGAAGTCCTTCCTACGTCAGGTGTGCCCCAGGGGTCTAACCTCGGGCCCTTATTATTCATAATGTTCATCAATGACATTGTAGATACTCTCACCATCAATCACCTATTGTATGCTGATGATCTTAAGATATACCATGAAATTTTCACCGAAGAGGATTGTACTGTTCTACAAGACAATCTTAACAGACTCAATGCCTGGTGCATCGAGAATAACTTATTCCTTAATGTCTCCAAATGTCATGTTATGTCCTTTACCGCCAAGGTGAATCCAATTATTTTCAATTATAAACTAGACAATGTCGTATTGAACCGACCTGAAACTTTCCAAGATCTAGGAGTAATATTTGACAAAAAACTATCGTTTGGAAATCATATCGAGCAAGTCATCAAAAAAACGTATAGATCTTTGGGATTCATTATTAGAGTATCAAAAAATTTTGGAAGAAATGAGAAAATGCTTCTGCAATTATATTTCACATTTGTTAGATCGAATTCAGAGTATGCATCAATAGTTTGGGCACCTCATTATCAGGTACATATATCTAATTTGGAAAATATCCAACGAAAATTTTTGAAGTACTTATGTTTTAAACTTGATGGCAACTACCCAGATGTAGGTCATCCACATGATCAACTTCTTTCAAGATTTTCAGTTGCTTCACTTCTAGATCGTCGAAATAGGTCGCATGTTATATTCCTTTTCAATGTTATCCGGAACAATTTGGACTGCAGCTGTATTTTGGAGATGATACACTTTCGCATGTTCCCAGACTCACAACCCGGAGAAATAATAGTTTCTACCTTCCACTTTGTCGCACTAATGTTAAATTCCATGCACCTGTTTACAAGATGTGTTCGATATATAATACGATGAATGAAACCATTGACATCTTTTGCTGCAGTTTGGCATCCTTGAAAAAACTGGACTGTTCTGTTTTTTCCAATGTGTAATTTTATGTATCAAGAAAATAATTTTAGTAATACACTTAGTATATTCCTATTCTGTAATTGGATCTTGTATCTGTTGAATAGTGTAATAAAAAAAATAAAAAATTACTATCAGCGATAAGAAGAACACCAATTCCTACCTTGGTTCTCACGATGTTCTCTGAACATTACAGGATATCCCTTTTCGTGGGAACCAGAAAGTAAAAAAAGGCCGCGCTTACTGTATATTGTTTGTAAACTAGTAGTCTAAGAACCAGCGCCAAAAAGATTTTTGGCTCTGGCTCTCCGTCTATAGTGGCTGACGTCATTACCTTCCTGGCGCTAGCGAACATTCCTGTCTCGATGGCCACTTGCACCCTCTCCAACGAGCCGTCGACGTTGCCCTTGGCGTCGTACAGGACGCCCGCGGCCAGATCGATCCAGGCTCTCTTGGGCGACGGCACGCGCCCGCGGGCGGTCTGCTGGCCCTGGAACCGCCTGAAGGTGTCGTAGAGGGCGTGAATGGCGCGCAGGTCGGCTAGGGCTAGCTGGTACGCCCACACGGAGTCGAGGGCGGTCAAGCCGTAGGTGAGGTCGTTGTTGGGCGTGAGCTGAAGGGCGTAGGTCGGTCGGAGGTTAGGTTCCGGTTTTACGAGTGAGCTAGTGAACTGTTTTTTCTCAATCTTAACCTTCAATATTATTTTTTTCAAAAAGTTTCTGAGTGGTTTTAAAGCTTCAAAATCATGATGTTACAGTCTCATATTTGCCACAGATAACTATTGACGTCACGACTCAGAGAGTGAGCACACAGTTGCCAGATGTCAAAGTACATCTGGAAATAACAGAAATTGTGTGTCTATTCGAGAATGTTATCAACCAATAGCACGTAGCAATGATACATATCAATGTAATTCTTCCATGGGTTGAAAATGTTTTCAATTGTCGACTCAATAGGGATATTATTAAAACACATTTGAATGGTATGGAAAATGTTTTGAGGTCTGTAACAACACAGCATAATACTTGTTGAATGTGGAAAAATGTGGAAAACTCAATAACAGTTCAGTAGCTTGTCGCTTGGGTGCGAGGTTGATGAACTAGACAGGCGGCTTCATAGCTCTTCAGTTACACTGCTGAATGTTTTGAAATCATTCTCTAGAAAGTAATATAATAGTTGTATTCATTGTAAGATATGTTCTGAGAATACGATTATTTGACCTTGAATAGTTATGAGGCAACCTGTCAAATCCATCAGTCTTGACTGTATATGCAGCGTGCATAGATTCGAGGTTCATAACCTACTTGATTTTTGATTTACAAGAGGAGAGTGGCTGATACAAACCCCCAAATGGAATATTTTTTCAAATACATTTTTGAAAAAAAAAATTGAGAAAAAATTGAAGGAGTTGGCTGAAGAAAATTCTTGGGGAATAGGATAATTGATAGTAAATGAATTTGGAATCATCAGGATAAATCAACATGATGAAAGGGGGAATGAGAAAAATTGAGAGGAAATTGAAAGGAATAACAGGAATTGAGAAGAAATGATAAGAACCAAAAATAATCAGAGAAAATTATTGAGATACTGACAGGTAGTCAATGATGGAGAGGAATATAACAATCCTGGGCTTCAAAACATGAAAAAAAAAGATGAATTGATATAAAATAAAAAGATTGATGAGAATTAGATTTATTCATAGAAAAGACAAGGAATTTGAAATTTAGAAAACGAGAAGAATTGAAGGACACGAAAGAGAGTTAGTGAAATGAAAGGCAATTTCAATATGATTGAAATGAATTAGTAGACATCTGTTAGAAGGAGCAGAATTGAGATGAAATTAATAGAACTTTGAATGAATCAATAAGGATTTTTTTTATCGCTTGGAGCGCACGAAAGGAAATCCCTATGTCTGGGAGGAAATGAAGGGGATTGATGGGATATGTAGGAAAGATGGGAGAGGAATTGAAGGAAATATAGGATTTGAGGGACATTGAAGGAAATGAATGAGATTTACAGAAATTGGAAAGAAATTGATGATAAATGAGGAAATTAAATGAAACTAGCAGAATTAATAGAAATAGATGAAGCGTTGACAGAAAATGAATGAATGAGGAATGGAGACTAGAAAAAATTAAGGGGAAAATGAATGATGCACTGAGAAAAATTAAGTGTAAAATATTTGCAACTAAATGAATCGAGATGAGGAAATAATGAAAATTTGAGAAAAAAGTGAATTAATAGAAATTTGAGACGCTAGGAGGAAATTAGTAGGAATTAGAGAAATCAGAATATGAATGGATGTTAGAGGGTATTCGAGAAACGGGAATAATTTAGCACAATAAATGGGAATGGAAAATTCAAAGGAAATCGATGGAAATTCGAGAGGAAAAAAATTGGAATGAAAGGGGAGATAAAGATGAATTGAGAAGGAATGAATGTGGAACTGAGAGAAATTGAAGGGAATTAATGGGAATCATATTGAATTGAGAGAAAATGAATGGAATCAAGAGGAAACTAATTGATACTTAATAAATTGATTGAGAGGAAATGAGTTATGAGTTGAGAGAAAATGAATGAGGAATTGACAGGAAATCAATTGTAACTATTGGAATTGAGATGGCAATTGAGAGGCAATTGATGGAAATTAGAGGGAAATTGATGGGAATCCGAGGAATCGAAGGCAATGAATGAGGAATTTAAATTCATTGAAAGGAAATAAATGGATAATGAAGAAATCAAGACAAAATGAAATAAAGAAATGAACAGGGAACCTAAATAAATGGATGTTAATTGAAGAAATCCAAAGGAATTAGGTGAATTTCTAGGAGACAGATAGAACATGATGGAAACTGCAAAAAATTGATTGTAACTAGAGGAATTGAGGGGTTATATATGATGGAAATTGGAGGTATTGAGAGGAAATTAATAAAAATCAAAGGAATTAGAGGCAGTGAATGAGGAATTAAAATTCATTGAAAGAACATGAATGGAAAATTGAGTGATCGAGACAAAATGAAAAGAAATAAACAGAATCTGAAGCAATGAATGGTATAATTGAAGAAATCCGAGGGAATTAAGGAGACACACACAAAAATGATGAGAAATACAAAAGGATATAAACAGAAAACAACGTGATACATTAATAGTTGTGAAGACATGAGAACCTTGCACAACCGCATAAACGCCTCCCGCTCCCGAAAAAAAAAACCGTCCGAACAGCCTACCTCCTGGACCGTATCGCCGAACCTTTCGAACTTCCTGATGAGGTTCACTTCCGGCCCTCTCTCGGTAACCTCGTCGGCCTCCTTGACGTGATTCTCCGTGTACCCGAGCACGTCGGCCCACAGCTCCTCTTCCAATCGCAAGAAGTCGTATCGCAATCGGTCGACGGCGGATATTTTCGCGGGATCTCGAGCCGAGCAGGCGCACAAACACACGCAAAGGCACAACAGTTTCTTGAGCGCGTCCATTGTCGTTGTCGTGTCAGGGAAATGTCACTTTATTCAGGGCGTGTATTGTCGGTAGAGGGCATATCTGTCGGGTACGAGAGGTGTGATACTTGAGCTAGAAGCGTATACTCCACCAAATCACCGTAATTATTTTATTGCGCTGAATTCATGAAAAACCAAGTAGGTAGGTATACAGGGTGTTATAAAAGTATGTAGACAAACTTCAAGGGGTGATTATTTGGGTGATTCTAAGACGAAAAGTTCATGTAAACAGAGTTCCAGAAATGATTCGTTTTCATGATACAGGGTATCAAAGTTTCGATATAAAATCGTTTTTTTTTATCAATTACTCAAAATTCTCTTATTTCATTTTTATGAAACTTGATGATTTTGTTAACAGTATCAAGAAGCTTCTTTTGGTGTAATTACAGTCGAGGTAATGATTCCAATGGCGTCGCAGTGGGTTACCTTCTCGATATGCATGGTAGATAAGGCACCTACGCCATAGTTTTTTCCAAGTTCGATATTTTTATCAGATTAAACAATCGAAAATACAACTTTTTTTCTTCTATTATGTTTTTGTATATCACTTAGTTTCTGAGGAAATAATGAAAAATTTATTTGTCTCCAAATTTGATTATAGGTACCCTCAAATCACTCATTGGAATTACCCAATAATCTTAATGAGTATTATTCTGAAATTTTGAGACTTTTCCAGTCACCAATCAGACTAAATTTTGCCATCATGAAAGCTTATACAGGGTAATCATGAAAAACAACAATCAATACTTTCAACTTCAACACCCTATATCTTGAAAATGAAACATTTTAGGACCTATGTTTATATGAACTTTTCGTTTTTGTATCACCCAAATAATCGCCCCTTGAAGTTTGGCCACATACTTAAATAGCACCCTGTATATACTGGGTATGCATATTGTAAAATTCTGAAGAATGAATCTCTTCTAGGGATCAAAGAGTTTTACAATTATCACGATAATTGCAATATACGTACGATAATTTTTATATGTAAATCATCCGCTTCTCTTGATTACTGAATTTATACGTAACAAATTTAATTCGGGGGAATATTAGTTTATCGAAATCTTTAGTTATTACCTTTGAGTCCGAAAATAAACCACTAGTGCATAAAATTTTGTATGTATCACGTGCATGAAATGCGTTTATGGCCTTCAGCGTGTAATGGCTCTCGGCTAGCGCCATCGGGCCATTATTCACGCCACAGGCCATAACCGCCTACTTTACGTAGTATTACTGTAAGTATTACTGTTTCGTAAAGATTGGTAACATCACTTTACAACATTTTTAATAACCTAAGCCAGGGTTTCTCAAACTTTCAGCTCCACGAACCCCTGTTAAAGTTGAGAGGTGACAGCGAACCCCTTAACTAACTAATTAAATCCCCCTTGCCCCCAAAGAAAATAGTAAAATTGACTGTGAAGACAAAATCAGGTGTTTATTTCAATAAAAAGTAACAAATAAAGTGCCATAAGAATGCTTCAAAATTTTTTTGCTCGTCAAACCAAGAATATTTTTTTCATTACTTGATGACATATATGTTATCATTTCTAAATTTTTGACCACCCTCCGAACCAGAATGAAAGGACAAAGCCAATAGAATTATCTTATAAAAAAATTCATATTTCAGTAACGAGTATGACAATTCCAAAAATTTTCGAACAGTACATTCTGTAGAATCTCATTCCAAAAAGATGCAATCATAATTACTTCAAGTTTGATAGCCAATGAAACGAGCATTCAGAAAATGAAAAAGAATTGAAAATCGATTGAGGCAATCGAAAGTTATGATTCAAATTTTATTGAAAAAATGAGATTTCACGTTTCATGTGTTGAACAATTCATTCTCTGAGTTTGGCATCAGATGAAAATTTGAGTTCAATATTCTTGTAATACGAGAGTATACGAGAGGATTCGATGTGATTCATATTTGTGTAAAAGAAAAAAATGCATGTAACGTAGTGTCATTCCTGAGTGAATATTGAAACCAAAATGATTTCTATTGATTTATCAACGAGGGGAAAACTACTCATTAAAGTCTACATCATATTTATGATTATCGGATCAAAATATTCGAGAAATATTTGATAGTTGGTAATAGAAGGTTAATTAATTATTTCAGAGATATAACAATCTAATCTATGATAATATACAATATCTTTCAGAAAGTTGGCATCATATGAGAAAAACTTTTGAAGATAATTTATTCTGAAATTCGACTTGGGCGTTGAGTTTTGCATTAATAGATGTGAGAAATGGATTTCTTGATCGTTGTCACGTGACTCGCTACATGTGAAAAGTTCAATATTGTTTCTACGAAATTTCTGTAATATTAAAATAAATCGACAAAACTGTCCTGAACTTCCGTTAGATACGTCAAGTAGTTTGATGATGTATTGATTGATGACTGGCATCTTTTTAGTACTAAAACAATCCATTTGAATGAATTTCGTATATTGAATGCTCGACGATACATCAACTTTGCATCAAACATAACAGAAACTTGAAGCGGGGATAATTATTTCCCTCGTTATTTCCTAAAGAAAAATAAATCATATTTTTGTCGATAATTATTAGTAACTGAAAGTTGGTAGCATGATAAAGCTACTGGTATGAAACAATAAATCGTTATGGAAAGCTTTTCCATATGATGGCAACTTTCTGAAAGATATTGAATTTCGCACTTCCTGGGCTGAAGTGTGTTCTTTAGTTTCTCCAAACAGAGACTAAAATAACCCATTCAATCTCTAGGACCCAAAGTAAGCTTTTGCTGAATTAGTTCATTATTAAAAGCGGAATGACAAAATAATCAAATGATACTCTTGTCAAATTGAATTGTAACATTGACAGTTTACCTAATATTTATGCTAATTTTCCTGTAAGTGCAGAAATAGTGTATTTAACATGGGACTGACGTTGACTGGAGTCTTGAGCTCCACTCGCGGGATATAATGGGTCACTTTAATTCCCTGGTCAATAATATAGTCACTCTATATACCACTAATTCTTACAATTTCGGAATATTTATTTACGAAATTTCAATTCTGTAAAGTTACCGGCTTGTTATTTTGTTAGTTTGCTTAAAAATGATGAAACACCCAATGATTCACTTTGGTTCCAAGGACTTGAAATGGGTAACTTTAGTTCCTGTTATGAAAGGAGGGACTAATGGACATAAATAAGTTTTTGTAAAAAGACATACTATACTATATTAGGTATTTTAAATATAATCGATGTATTTGGAAATTGCACTGAAATAATTTGAGGACTGAAAATCATTTGCAATAATTAAAAATTAAAAAATTAATTCATTCGATGGAAACTCCATCAATTTCTCAATAAGTTATTATCAATGAAGCCAAGAAAATATATAATTAAAATAACAACATTTTTGCTATCTGAGAAGTGGGCATTTTTTATTTTGCTTGATTATTTGGGATTTTTTCTCCTCGTTTCTATAAAATGAAAATATGAGTATATTTAATTGATAAAGTATATTATATGATAGTCATATTTTTATTTTATAGACGAGGTGAGAAAATTCCAAAGAATCAAGCAAAATGAATGTAGGTACCACCACCTCCATTAACCTACAGACAGTAATTGAGAATTTTCCATTTATTTGACTAGTGACAACAATATCTGTTCGCAAAACACACAATATTCATGGTGGAAAGGAGATTGCTATGTTTATCAATGTTATGTAACCTTAAAATATATGGTATTTAAATGCTGTGTGAAGACACTTTTTATGGGAAGTGAACATAATATTATTATAACGAGGCGACAGACTTTCTTCTGTGATATTCCTTTCGTGATGATAATTTATACGGGTAGAGAAACTGCGTGGTTATAATCAATGTTTGTTTTTTTTTCAAATGCAGGTATAGATACACTCAAAATAATGATTGAATTGCATATTTTGCAAACAATATTATTTGTTTAATGTCATCGAGATAAGTATTTGTAAATATAAGATAAAATAGGTATGCAATGGGTATGCCCATTATAATATCCTGTTTAGATAAATTTCAGATTAATAGTATAATAAGCTATTATGATATTTTTTTATGCACCATTCCAATGTTTTCTAATTCATCGAAATGCTCCTTTTTCATATAATTATTTTGAGTTCTGTTACTAAAAACTGAAAAAGAAAAGAAAAAGAAATAAAAAAGGAAACGACAATAAATATGTGGCATATAAATAGAAAATTCTGAGGCCAACAAGGACTCCGAAAGTATCATCAGAACTTTTCTTTTAAAATACTATTAGCGTGTCTGTTTTCCTATTCATATAACTCATTCGATGTTCTTGAATTCGGTTGATAAATGTTCTGCCTGTTTGGCCAACCTTAGGATAAAAAATACCAACATTTTAGTTTGATTTTTCAATGTAATATTCTTTACAATCCTTCCCTGAAGTGTAATTCTTTCCATCCCTTTATGTAAAATTGAAGCTAGTGAAGTTGTCGTTTTCTACATAGATATGAGTTCAATGATTTGTCATTCCATTCTAGACCTATTATAAAAAAATGATCATATTCAGCAATGTGAACCTTTGTTTGAGATCTAGAAATTTATAAGTGTCACCTTTGTGGCTTTGTGACTCGTTTCTCATGCACGCTAATTGACTTTAATTATACAAGAACAGAGGTCGATGCAACTAATTTAAATCTCATCACCCTCCAAATGACATAAAATATAACCATACAGTAAACGCGATGCCGATATTATATTCACTTTATTCGAAAGAACACAAAACTGCTTCGTCCACGAAATCAATAGAACAAAACGAACACGACCAAGGAACGACAACAGGTGTCCACATACCGCCGCATTCAAACGCAGGTCGCAGACTATTCGATTTGTTGATTTTTATTGAGGAAAGAGGGGAAAAACGCAATTATTGAAGAGTGGAGAGACTTTGTCGAGAGAGTGGTCGGCAGTTGTTGCCTTGACTGACGTACCTACCGTGTTCAACGATTGAATTATATTTCAATTGAGATCGCAATTCGTCTCCAGTGGGTGCTCGTCAGGGTAGAAAAGGCAGGAGCCGCATAGAATTTTTCTTATC